TGAACTTATAGGAAAAGCCCTCTATATAGTCACAACCTCTTTATAAGCACATTTTCAACAAAAGTTGCATTGTTCCCGACAGCGTGACTATGGAGAGGGTTGACTGTACAACTTTTTTTGCTCACAAATGGATCTTTAATGGAAAAGTTGTCGTTCATCAACGATAGATCTATTCTGTCAGAGTGGATTAATATTAAAAGCTTTAAATTCGAATGGAAGAAACTGTGATTCACCGAAAGGGTGATTCCGCCAGAATTGATTAAGAGAAATTGGCAACCTCCTTGATCAAAATTGCTCACCTGATGCAAATAACGTCTCATCGACTGTTGAATGTTGAAGAATTAATTAACACAACACGTCGATTTTTTTAATATAAAGTGGCGTAGACGCCGCTAACGTAATTTTGGTTACACTAATAAATTCGTCACACAGTATACTTTTTTTTTTGATGGTTGATCCTGGCAATCACCTCCAAATGCTTCATTTCATGAAAATTCTCTACACAATCTCGTTTATCTTCTTTGCTCTAATAACCGTAGCTGCCTTATTCTTATCAGCCGCTGACGTTATCCTTGAAGCTTGGAAAGATGAGTCGAAAAGGATACAATACTTAACTATCATTGCCGTCGCTTATTTACTCTTGGTAAGTATCAAAAGAAAATAACCCTAGGCTCACAAGAATACGTAACTGAGAGACAAGCTCTATTGTGAAATACCTCACCAATAATCTTTTATCTCTTATTGATCTTAGGGTTTTCTTGCCGTAACAGTAGGCCTTAGTCGCCTGTTCACCACACGGAGAGCATTAGCTAATATACCCAAATCGTACGTACCCATACGCAAGGAGGATATCCCTCGAGTAAGTGTACCTTTGATTTCTCCCGCCATATATTCACCATGCATGTTAGATTTTTGCCCCAACTTTATCTACCTTTACTTCATTTATGTACTCAATCATAATACAAGTCTGTTCATTCGTACATAACAAAATCCCTCGCCGAAATCTGCGATATAACGCTTGCGTCACAACCTAGTCAAAAAGATACTACTCAACCAGGATGGGGCCGACCTAGCACATCCCTTGCAAACATCCACTTTAGGACGTCAATCCGTCAGACCACAGTCATTATCGAACAGGCAGTCCAGAAATCTACCTCAATCGTTCGACATCCATCAATGACAACCCAACGATATATTGACTATCTTGTCGAGTGCAAGCTGATAGATAAAATAATAGGGAGACTGTATGTCGAGGGATATGAAAGGGCTAGATTTAGTGAGGAAGAAACTGGCGAGGAACATTATAAAGAGTTTATGAGGCTGGTTGCAGTACTGTTGAGGATGATAAGGAAGAACGAGATATATTATAAGAGTGAAATCAAAGAAGAAGTTGAAAGCAATCTGGAACAGTGAGGACATTTTATATGAAGTAATCGACGTGATGATATCCTTTTTAATAATTATTCTTTAATGTATCGTCATAATTTTACTGCTTTTTATTAAATTGTTTAATTTCAACTTTCGTCAAATGTCATAATTGGTCTGTTCAAAAAACCTTTATTCAGAGATATTGACAGATCCTCTATTTTGAATTATATACTCGATCTCTTTATACGGACTATTCATTACATCTGTTTTAATCTAATATTACATTATCTTCCCTCTTTAATTTTTTCACATTACCCACCTTTTTTGGGGGGATAAACGACCCGAACGAAAAGCTCGCGTAAAGGGCAAACACACGGATTGGGCTCTTTAAAGAGTTCCAATCATTACTTACAACCCTTGGTGAAGGTCTGAGAAAAACCATACTTGTCTCTAGCTGAGACCCTTACGAGAGTGAGGAGTGGGTTACCAGAAACGATACCCAACACTTTCCTTATATGAAGTTGTTCCTTTTTAGGGGATGACAGATTTTATGGGAGTGTTTGTGGTTGGAACGCGGCCCACTGGTGGAAGAACTATGAAGTGCAATACGTGAGGCATCAGACATGATGTAACTCAATTCAGACTACTCTTTCGTTCGGGTCCTTTCCCTATTCTTTCTATTCCACTTACACAGTCTTCTTATGTTGTATCACACGTTGTTTTAGTCCATCAATTACTTTTATCTTATCACCTTTCTCTATTTTTTCCCTCTATTCATGAACTCGAACGAAAAGCTCACGTAAAGGGCAAACACACGGATTGGGCTCTTTAAAGAGTTCCAGTCATTACTTACAACCCTTGGTGAAGGTCTGAGAAAAACCATACTTTGTCTCTAGCTGAGACCCTTACGAGAGTGAGGAGTGGGTTACCAGAAACGATACCCAGCGCTTTCCTTGTATGAAGTTGTTCCTTTTCAGGGGATGACAGATTTTATGGGAGTGTTTGTGGTTGGAACGCGGCCCACTGGTGGAAGAACTATGAAGTGCAATACGTGAGGCATCAGACATGATGTAACTCAATTCAGACTACTCTTTCGTTCGGGTCCTTTCCCTTATTCTTTCTATTCCACTTACACAGTCTTCTTATGTTATATCACATGTTGTTTTAGTCCATCAATTACATGTTATCCCTTTCATCTTATCACCTTTCTCTATTTTTTTCCCTCTATTCATGAACCCGAACGAAAAGCTCACGTAAAGGGCAAACAAACGGATTGGGCTCTTGTTTAAAGGGTTACAGTCATCACTTATAACCTTGGTGAAGGTATGAGAAGAATCATGATCTACTCTAAATCGAGAGTGAGTAGTGGGTTTACCAGAAACGATACCCAGCATTTCCCTTATATGATGCTGTTCCTTTCAAGGGATAATTGATTTTATTATGGGAGTGTATGTGGAAGCGCAATAAGTGAGGCATCGTTATGCGATGTGGAAGAATGAATCAACGAAGAAGGTAAGTGCAAGGATAGATCCGATTACGAGTAATTGATATATGTGATCGATTGTTATAAAATAGGAATAGTATAATTGTTTTATTTCTCATTCAAATGGATATTATCATCTACCAATTTACAGCACGATCTGTCGTGCTCAGTCTTAAATCCTAGATCAATAAAAATTTCATTCCGATTCGTCATTGTACATGATTCGTTTCACTGTGATTTTCGTTCCTCGTTTTACAATCGGCGAGAGACTTTTGTCTGCATCAAGGACGTTACCAAGCCGATCCGTTGGTGGATTCTAAATGCGACGAACAGTTTTATAACGAATTGCGTAAACTGGCTTGGAATTATATGATATGAAAAGTTCGCACATTGCTCCTGGGATTCAATAATGAATACATACCGCTGAAGCAAGACACGATTTAATTATAGACTTTTGCCTAGCAGTAGTTGGACTTGATCTAATAGCGGGAGACGGTGCTTCTAACTCTTTACGATTCCATCGAACCTTTTTATCTCCAAAATCATTTTCCCGTCCATCGCCATCTGTCTCATTGTCATTATTACTGCCCATGTCGCTATCCATATCGCAGTTTTGGTCTAAAATTTTAGACTCTTCACATATTTTTGAAGGACTTGGTGGCCTTGGTTCATCCTTATGGATAACAAGAACACGAATTTTGCATCTATACAGTCTATTCCTTTCAGTATTACGCTCTGTCAGACGATTCCACGTGACATCGCTTATTTTCGGTGGGCGAGATAAAGGAAGCAACTTATCTGATGTTACAGTAGATGTGCGTCGAGACGATATGGTCTTTCGGCTCGAATTAGTTGAAGTAGAAAGAGAGGATACGGCCGGACGCGTTTGACAAGGAAGATTGGATGCCTGAATTTGCGTTTGCGGTGAGATTTTATTGGGCAAAATGGCAAGTGGAGTTGATGACATTGGTAAAAGTTGTTGAAGTGAAATGATTTATAATCAAGCCAAACTGAAAATAATAATAATAATAATAACAACAATCATGTTGTTTTGACAGTCAGCGTGATCTCGACGTCATTCATGACCTAACGATTGGATGACAATAAATCCACATTTGTAAATGACGTAGTTGGCTGCTTAGTTTGTCGATACATTAGACTGGATATGTTAGGATGGCCTAAAAAAAGTCTGTAGTTTCGTGTTTTTTCCGCGATGTCTGATTTATTGGCGATCGACCGTGTTGTCTTTTAACATTTGATCACGTGAATTCGAAATGGCTGATGTAGCCAGAGTGTCACATGGACTAATTTTAGTTACAATTTCGACCCCTATATAACAAATTAAAATGTTGACTAATATCAAACTTGTTCGAGATAAACTTTTTTACTTGAGGTATAATAGGCTTATTTCTACATAAAAAAAATATAAATATGAAACTAAGTTACATCAAATCCACTATGTTAGAAGTTAGAAAAATGCACCTTATGTTTTTAAAATTTTCCAGCATTATCTTGATAAGAAAAAAATTATTTATGAAATTTACCAAGAGAAAAGAAAATAATAGATATTAACATTAATGCAGTAGTATAAAATATCAAAAATCATGGTGGCCATATTGTGCGGATAATATTCGTTATACCCTGAAACTGCTAAATTGGTTGCATTTAATAAAGGTGGTGATTGTATTTCAAATAAATATATTAACAATAAATCTTATTTGCGATCGATGGAAACGTGCCAGAAATCGTGAATGGAATGCAACACTTGATAGTATAAAACGTCAAAATTCATATTGCGCAGGACGAGCTAAAAATACTCTTGATATTGCTAAGACGGTTGCAATGAATGGCCGGATTTCTTAAAAACAACTCTCGAGGGTTACAACTTGATATATTTTATCCAGAATATGATTTCGCAATCGAAGTACAAGGAGAACAGCACGAAAAATGTATAGAATTCTTTCATGAGAATTTGAGCAAGATTACGTAATATTCACGTGATATTGTGTAACTGATTCACCGCGTATAAATTACGACAATCAGATTTTTTATAAGGGATTATTTGTCTTTCCTCTTCCAAATTTCTTTACTTACTAAAGGTATCAACCAAATAAATTGCTTTCCAAATAAACCGAATTTTACCAAGACGATGTTTTCTAATATAAAGTAAGTACTTATTATTAGTATAATACCTCTCCTCTTTCGTATCCTAATATACTTTTTTGTTTAGATCGGTTATCGCAACTCTGAAAGAAAACAAGGAGAATAAGGCGGATCAAAAGAAAAAGGAGAAAGACATCCAGAATATTAAAGCGCAAATCGATGACGCGTATGAAGAATGGTGCGATGAATATGACGAAGAAGCAGACTTTGTTTGTACCGCCATACCAACTTCGGAACCTCTCCAAGGTATGCTAATATTCTGTACAAAAAAAAATTGCCAAATATTTTAAGCAAACCACTCTATATTTTTAGGCAAACTCCTTCTAAACCCCGTAAAAAAGCTATTAAATAAAGACCCCAGTTGTTGGAACAACGATGACCTCATGCCGATAGCTGAACTTCTCGCTGGGCGACCTTTTATAGATGGATCTGGAGATAACTTCGAAGGCGCATCTGCGTTTCATTCGATCATGCCAGATTTTGACTTGTACTTAGAAGAACATGATGACATCCGTGGAATTGTAGACCCGATCTATTGCGATTGCACTTCCTCAAGCCGTACTTAACAACTACCCGCCAAACAATTCACCGCTCCCTCAACTGGTTAATTGGACAGGTCTAAATTATTGTTGGGTATTTAATGGTCGTAATCGGGCATCTGATTCCCAACACCTAGTTGGGTGGCTCCACGCGCGGTGAATGGACTCAGGTTAATACCACTTCTCCGGGATTATATTATTGATTATTAGTTTAGTATGTGCTTTTCTCTTTTTCCCTTTTTCTTCATATCTGTTTTTGCTTCACGTAGCCATAACCATGGTATACCTAAAATGAGATTAGCTTTTAGATAACGGTCTTTAACAACCTCAAAATCATTTAAGCCTGTATCGCTTTTAGATACCAGTCTTTCTTTTTCCTTGTATCTGAAAGATAAATCTAGGCATCTTATAGTACCTAACGAGTTTTTCACTCTTTGATTCTTATAATTATTACCGTATTTTTCTTCAATTTCTTCAAGCTTATCGGCCAAGCTTTTGCTAATAAAATTTTTGCTAGATGATGTATCAATCAATGCCTTGACTGCGTGGTGTTCATGTCCCAGTTCTATTGCTTTGTAACGCGTTTCTTGATGACTTATTTCATCTGAAAAAGGCCATATTTTACATTCTACGTATGCCATTTTGTTGTGCTTTCTTAACTGAATATTTATTGCGCCAGAAAAAAAAAACTCCCTTAAATAAAATTTCGGGATAGATTCTATTTAGTCCGGCTATTCCTCTTTAAATATGGGTTTTATTTTTAGGTAAAAGTTTTGGAAATTGCTTATTATGTCCTTTCTAATCCGTAAACAATCCCTAATTTTTATCACTCCCAATTTGGGGGGTTAGTTTTGGAATTTTTAAAAATGTTTTCGGGCTTAAACGTCTAGAGCCTCTTATTGTGAGTGTTTTTAAATTGGGACACTCAGCTAGAAGTGCTTCTAGATTTTTATTGTTAAGTATATGCAACCCACAATTTTCAAAACTTAGCCGTTGTAAATTTAGACATGCCTTACACACTTCGGAAATGTACACATCCGGCTCTATTTATTTCTCCAATAAATTTTAGACCTAGCACTTGTTCACATGCGGCTGGCTTAGTATTCCTACTCAAGGCCTTAGTAAACTTGGCCCCGGAAATGCCTGTTAGGACTATTCTTTGCCATATTAGTCTTTTAGCAATAAAGTACCATTGCTTATTAACAAATAAAAGTGGATCCATTTCTCGGCCCTATTCTTTCGAGAATCTCATTTGGCAAAGATATGTAACGGATGAGAGTTTTTTCTGATTTCTCAGTTGGCGGAGGAATTATTTCATCAAAATTGACCCACTTTAGATTCATCACATTCTTTATCGACACGATGCCTGATTTTGCAATTTTTAGATCACTCTTACCAACTCCTTCATATCTTTCTATCAGCTGTTCTGTATTTTTATCTGAAATAATGAATCCATCCATCTGTGTGGATACGCTTTACACGATCTCCTAGTGGTTTAATTTTCCCCGATATAATTCTGCGCCCTCTCGCTGTAATAAAAGGTGCCATGACCTAGTCTTCGTCCATCTGAGTATAATCGTCCCCAGAATGATACTAGCATATGCTTGGCAACTTTACCTGCCTGTCCGCCTTCTTGCTTGATCTTTGTAAGATAACTTGCCCATTGATAGAAACTATTATATCCGCTCTTTAGATAAATTTGATCATATATTAGAGCATTAGGACTTTCAGAGGATAACTCTATGTGAAGATCTAGTTCCATCGCTAATTTCAAGTCATAGTGAGAGTAATATTCTGCGGGATTATAACGAAATCCTCTTATACATTTTTGATTCGCTGGCTGGTCTTTTATAAAAGCTCGATATATACCATATTCTAGATTATAATAATTAAGATTATGCGTGCCTGCTCTTACTGGCCAGCATAAGCTAAGATGTTCGGATAAAATTCATTAAAGTCCAATTCGGTCGCGATTCCTTCATATGGCTCATCCCATACTAGGCCTCCCATGTAGGCCGAATTAATCCAATAATCTTCTTCTTGTGTTAAGCCTTCTGCTTTTCTAGAAGCTAAAGTGACATCTTGAAAGAAACGCAAACTTGCCATTGCATATGTTCCAATTTTTCGTAAATCAATCTGTCCTCTACTCCGCCATGCAATTGCACTGGCTTCTTCATTATATCGTTTATGAGCTTCCTAAAGTGTCTCATTTGGATTGGCTTTGATTAAAAACCAGTCTCGGGATAAATCACGGAAGTCATTTTCGGAGCCAATCCATTGTGTAGAACCATCATAGAACTCGATATGCAAACCTTGCTTTTTCTAGAATAGAAATCACCGGATAGCTGAATACCATCTTGTATCAGTATTTTGATAGGTTAAAGCGGTCTCATAGTCGCTTGCCCCCTCTGACTCTTCCTCTGGATCTTCTTCGGGTTCTGGTGGCTTGGAAGGTGCGGGTAACTCGGGTGGCGTCGGGTCTCCCCAGAAATTTCCGAACAATCACCCTAATGCGCCGGTGATACTACCTAGAATTCCGCTCGTTTTTTTCCCAAAGATTATATATGGTTACAAAAAGTTTAAAATAAAAATTAATTTATTCGGATAATTAGTATTACATATTTATTCAAAAAGAAGAGACTAATAGAATGGGATTTTATAATTGTCCGTATATTCTTAGGACTGGAGAAGTGTGCAATGAGGGATGCTATATCGGGCAGAAGGGTGCAAAGTCCATTGGAACGAATTCCATGTATAGAATGCGGAAAATTAACTTCCTCTGTTTATAGTGCTTGTAGAAAACATGCAGGAAAATATCATATTCGAGAATTTTATCAGCAACGGAAGCTTGCAAAAAATTCAGGCTAGTGACGCTAGTAACAAGCTAGTGATGAGCTGGCTAGCTTTCTGGTATAAACTGGTCAAATTTAGTAATATTTTGCTTTTCGATGTGGAAAGTAAAATAATATGATCTTTCTTATTACTTGCCCGAAATAAATTATTGGTCACATTTTTGGCGAACTTTTTTGATGATAAGTTCGCTGAAATTTCCGTCACATGATTTTTCTCCTTGGATGAAACCATTTCTCGAATCAAGCCCTTTTCATTTTTCGCTCATTGGAAGTAGTAGATGTAGTAGACGCAGTATTCTGGGAAATCGAGCGTGCCTCCTGGCTAGGTGATTCATATTGAAGTTTTCCCTCCCTATTCCTCTGCCTAATCTCATTACTAACCCTTTCTTATGCATCTCATTCAAGAAGGCGTCTGTCTCTTTATCCTCCAATGACTTCTGCTTAACTCGTGTAAGAAAACTGGATTTTAGATTTGGATGAAACCTCAGAAGCATTATCAAGCTGGTCCACAACAAAGCTAGGTATATTAACAATTTCCCCGGAAGAAATATCTTGGGTTTGCTGTTTGATCCTCGGCCTTTAAACCTTATCGTGCTCGTCTCAAGTCTAAAGAAAAAAAATCGATTATACTATATCGTTTTTATCTCAGGTATAAGTCAACATCGCGTAGTAAAATACCTACCGATATGCCCTCTCCTACAATCGGTGGATGACGGTGAAACTCGAGTTACGAGAAAAATTCCATGGAGCAGAAGACGGGAGGAAAACGCGACAACCTGCCCAGGACGAAGCGGAACGATAATTTAGAGTTGAGGAAAGCAAAGTTCACCCCCCTCGAAATCGCCAAGAGCGACTAAGCAACACAAAGAATTCGGTTCGTCGTCATGCTCATCTCAGTGAAAATCGCTTATAGTATTAAAATTAATCACGATCATAGGGAAGACGCCAAATGGTCTAGGTACAAATACCCGTATTCTAGCTTGCTTAATTTCTCGTACAAATTCTGGTAATATATTTTAAGAAATTCATTAACGCAATTCGATAACGGAGCTGGTATAAGGGAGGGGATTATACAAAGTATATGCACCAAAATGTTCTTCCAGAACTCATTATTTCAATGCGAAGGGTTGTTTAATGTATGAAAATAGTATTTGTTTACATCATCTATTGCTTGCATTACGGCTATTTGATTCTTGAGATTTTCAAGACACTCTGGTTTCACAACATGACGATATAGATAGTCGAGTCTTTCTCTCTGCATATTGCGATATCGATTGTTCTGGAAGATGAGCAAATTACACGACAATAATCTGTACTACGAAAACACTATATAAATACATGGATTTTCTCTGTTTGTATTTGATTCTTCTTCTTCTTTTTCGCAGGTGCTTGTATTTGATTCAACCAACAACGTATACCAAAAAATGTCAGAAGGTATTTTATTTTTGTAACTACCGTAATTTGCCGAATACCCCGGATATTTTGTACGGTAAGGGGTATATTACATACAAATTACTTCGCTGATATCAGTATTACGTGTTTATGCTCGATGATGTCACAATTAACGTAAATTATGTATAGACGCGTTGTAATGCTAAAATTTTCTTTATTTTTATCACCTTACTTAACAAGGTAAGAACTATCGCTATTGCAAAGTATTATTTGGCTTGCAAAAAAATAATCATCGTATATCTAATAATGGCAGGTTTAAACAAAGATACGGGGTTCAGAGGCGCGTTTTCATACTTGAATAATAATAGTATTTATGTTATTGTGATGGGTCCGAACACCGAATTAAGAATGCAAGCAGTCGCTGTAGCGGTAGCTAGGCTGTACTTTACAGACAACAATGGCAATCCTGTCCAAGTTCCAAACGGGTTCACTCTCACCGACACTCAAGGAAACGCTATACTACCTTTTCTCGGGAATTACTATGTGACGTGGTTTAATTCCTATGAAATGAGGATGAATGGCCAACGATTCGGGGGATTAACGACACAACAACAACAAGCCATTGATTTGGATGAAAATTATCATCGTTATGTCATTTAGTGGGGATAATGTTCTTTTATCAGTGCTTTTTTATTCGCCTAGATTATCCTCTAAATTTCTTCGGAATTTTATCAGGTTCACGGCGGCAATCGGCCTCTTGATTTCAAACTTTATTTCTACTTTTATGGTAAGATATATTATGATCAAATAATAAAATAGTTACCCGCATCTAATTTTGCCACTAACGAAGGTTTGACGGTTTTCGGTTCTCATACATATTATACAATAAAAAGTGTTACTGTACTGTTCATAAGTCTATAGAAAAATTGCTTTTTGAGATAACAAAACCTTTGGATATAACCTCGCCATGACCACTTTTCATAAGTTTTAATAATTTCTTTCCAGAGTTCGAAAATAGCGTCTGAGGTGTTTTGGATGTGCTAGCTCCCGCATTACTTCCTTCACCAACCCCGTCGCGAACCACTCGCATATCGTACCTAAGATGTTTTACAGTTTCGGACATATCAGCAATGATTTTGTGTTGCTTCTTCTTGAACGGCTTCGTGTTGAATTCTTTTTCGGTTTGTTGGTTATTTAATACTGAATCGATTTTCGAAATGAGTGTTGCTTCACTTCTGATTCACATACAACGTAGATTTAGCTGAAGTTGTAGGGATATGCTGCTGGTTCGCTAGAATCATTGTAATAGTCAAAAGACACACTGAAGTAATGAAAAAGTGTACCTATTGCTGCTATTTCATTCACCGCCCAGTCTCTAGCATCAATGACAACATTGTTTTTATGCCCATGCACTGTGTCGTGCCGACTACTGCGGGAGAGCGTATAGTAATCGACACTTGGGATTTAGCTAGTCTCGACGGAGCGTGGCGCCGCCTAGTTAAATTTCTGGTTTACAGTTAGTGACCTCGTCAATTCAAGGCTTTCCACTTACGGGCTTTTTTACCGTAGAATGATGCTAATCCTAGATATATTAACTGTACTCGAGTATGTCTATCAGTTACTATCGTGGGATAAATCGATAGTCTCCCGTCTGGGGTACAATGGTGTATAAATCATAATAATGCGCATCTACATAACAATTAATTATCGCGATTATTCTTCATCGATATAGGGATTAGCGGTTTCTCAGCTATACCGATAAGTTACCAGGGAATGAATTATTAACAATGTATTTCAGAGTATAAAGAACTACTCATTTATTTACAATAAAGGAATCGAGAGTAATTAGACATGCTAAACATGCACTTATTGACTGACTTTTTATCTAACTGAAATCTACGCTACTTATATATCTTTCGAGCGGAATAATTGATCTATTCTTAGCAGCAAATTCCGCTATTCTGTCGATAGTTCTTTAGTATACGTTTAGAATGCACTGAAACGTTTCCGCACTATTTCATCACTGTTTTAGCACTGTTCGTGCCACTGACAGTACCCCGCAACGTTTAGGAGAGACTATTAATTTGACAAACCTCCTGTAATAATGACGCAAACGGCGCAAACGCCTGATCTTCCGTCAATTTCTTCAAAGCTTTGTCTGCAGGTTCGCGGAACGAGATTGTCTGACATTTTACGATAATCTATTTGTAAACAAATGTATGCAGTACGAGTTATTGCCCGAGCATTTTATTAACAGATATGTGTGCTCGGATAAACTCCAACGCTCCCCTGACGTTTGCAAACCCTTTTGCACGTAAATACCTACCGTGCGCTCCGCCACAGTCTTTTCAAGAGTCGAAATTTTTTCCAATTTTTCGGCCTCAAGCTTCCGATGTTACGCTTATAATTCGTGCTGAGACAAATCCCATGACCTTCGCCAACTTTTCTGGCTCATCAGAGGGAGAGGATAATTCGTTGTACGTCGTTTATGTCATCTATAATCCCAAATATGGTATTAAACTTACTTTTAATATTGTTAATCCAACGGAGATTATTTAGATTACGCTGTTCAACAACTATCTAAGATACTGTACCGTTCAATCATCTCAAAATTTCTTTGCCCTTCCTCTGCCTCTTGCTCCTCCCGATTATTGTTATCGTCTATCACTTCTGAATTGTCCCAGATATATCAGAAGTAGATTCTACAATAGTAATATACGCTAACCTTCTTTCTTAATACTAACTTCAAAAAAACATAATATTAATATAACTATCTCAAAGTATTCAAACATACATATATGACTTACATTGTTCAAGAAAAAAGTTTAACGTTTGCCATGATACAAAGAAAACTGCAGGCTAAGACGCAATAATCCGTCATATGAATATTGACTTGTAATCATTGTTCTAGTGTTATATGAACGACAAATTTGTGAGAAATTATAAGGCGTTGATGAAACATTTATGCTGAAAGGTGAAGAAGCCTCAGTACATGCTCATGGTACATAGTCAGTAGGATGCTTGGCCGAAAAGTAAAGACTCACATTTGGCGGTTGCGTTGAATTAAAGAGCATTTGCTTCGAGTAGCTAACATTAGTGATCTTTACAAATATTACACGCGATTTGTTTTACCCAAACATTTCCACGTGATCCAAACATCTCCCTATTGGCCAACCCATCGCTACCATAGCACCAGACAACACACAATGCCCCTAGTGCCCAAACATCAAACGCAGTACCCTCCACCGCCTCCACCAATGCTCAATCAATTCTATGCAGATGGCACACAATCGCAACCTCCCCCACAAATCCCCAATCCCTCACTTACTATTACACAGCACCAACTCTGGTTATAGTTAATACAATCCCTGCAATCAGCAGCCATAACCGCACTCCTCCCCATTCTGATATCCTTAACTCATTGCTAGGACGTCTTCTCTACCTCCGCTCCATAGATATACATATAGATTCACTCACTCCCTGGGTCTCCCCCAATAGAATACAGTCACTCATTAATATATCTAGAAATAGATACAGCACAAAAAAATTTTTTATTTTTTATTTTATGTTTGGTTAACAAACAATCCTCTTTCATTTTTGTTTACCAGTAAAATTAAATTCAAGAAAAACTTTATTTATGTTCTTGACATGTGCCATTTTGAGAGGTAGACATAATTATAGCTGTTTGGATTGTTTGCTTAAGTAGTTTGCTCATTCGTTATTATTATATTAATGTACCGTATATACTGCTAATTAGGTGGGATAGCAATAGTAACAAAAAACACTCAAATAAACCGGTACAGCAATTTTTCTTCGGATTAACGGGTTTGCTCTATAAACCAAAGTGTATATTCAGGGAAACCATACGTTCGGATAAACGGGGTAAGTGTTCAAGCTGCCAGATAATATATATCGTAAACACTACTCTTTATTCGCTTATAACATAAGCTTACTATACTAACAGCTTGTGAAATAACTGCTTATTTGAGATTAAACCTTAAAGTCAGAGATTGATTGACGTATTTTTTTTTACATTGATTTAACTCGTACAGTATATAAAGTCTTCGCTAAGACCAATGTCCATCTCTCTTTGTTCTAGGAAAGTTATTAACAATTTTTATAGGCAAATATAATTGGTCGAAATATTAATATGCGGTTTATCGGGGTCAATATTAATATTCGGTTTACAAATGTGGATGATATTATTGGCTTAAATAAATTGTTACGTCATTTTATTCGGATTATCGGGGTAAATTTTGATATTAACATTAATATCAGAAAATCTCCGGTTTATTTATGGAGGTTTAATAGTAACTTCGGTTTGTCGGGGTAGTTTTAATAGGCTAAAGTGCGGATTTCAAAAAAAGGTTCGATCTAACGGGGTTTTCGGTTCGGTTTATCGGGGTTGACCTTGTACTTTACTCATTATCATAGACATTATAATATGAAATCTGGCAAGTTTGGCATGTTACAACAGCAAAATTATTGATAAAATTTACACAGTGCTAAAACCCATAGAAATTTACATCTGGCCAAAACAATGTAGGAAAAGTATGCCCAAACACTGTGGGAAGTTTGTATTTGGGTGGTTTATAGTCAAAGAATGGATTCTATTTCTGATAAAATGTTAATCAATTTAGTAAAAAAGGTAAGGACAGCCACATCGGTTTTCCGAGCTTTGACTGTATCTTCATGAATTCCTTTACTAATGCTGAAATGGAGAATACAGAATTTTTATTAATTAATCCATAATTATTCTCCTGCCTAAGAAATAATATTGATTTACTTACAATACATGATAATTAGCATAGAGGGACGATTATGAGTGATGGAAAACTAATGTCTACAATAAAAGCAGTTGATATTGAATTGTGGCAAATCAATGTATTAGTCCTCGACAAAATTTCAGAAATACACTTCCGTATCCAATTTTGTAAAGTGTTCAGTGACTAAAAGGTAACATGTTAGGTAAGATATACGCATTCAAAGTGCCTTGATTTATCATTATTTCGTTATATACATTGTGCATCAAATATGCAACTGAAATATATACACATTTGAAATTAAAACGCGGTCTGGTTCAGAAGATGATCTGACATGGTAGCAAATTACTAAGGATGTGACCAAATTGCATAAAAAACGCGAAGAACATAATAACAATAGTGGCTGAAATAAAAGCTGTGACCGAGAGACGCTGCATGCAAGAATTAATAGGTATGCTACGATATTGTAAATTATTTCTCTGAATAAACTCATATGCCTATATTAATCGTATTATGCATTATCATTAGTATTCCAAATTATTCCTTGAGCACTGTTAACAAAATTTTTTATAAATAGACCTTCCATAATTTTTCCTGCATTTTCGGAGTAACTATTTTGGTCGAAAATATTCAACCCGGTTACAATATTCATATTCATATGAGCACCAAAAGCTGTTGTATTTGATACTAGCAAGAAAAACAAGCTGGTTGATGTCCAGTGTATACCTGGTCTATGATTAACATTAAATAAGCACCCAATCCATCGCTCTCTGCTACATGATCCTTATGAACCAAGTGAAAAAACAAATGAAAGTTGCTTATTTGTCGCCAGATGCATGGCACCACGATATACGTCATGTCATCTAAACATGATGTCTTCTACTATTGAGTGCGCGTGCGTGAAAGAGAAATTATGAACATTAACGAATGCAGACGCGTCTTCGTACTGGAATTTACGCTTGCTTACGCTAAGGTGCTGACAATAGTAATTTATACTGTGATAAAGAGTTTCAGTGTCAGTCCAAGATAGTTGGTTCTCGAACGTGTAAAAATGATGATGTCGTATAATTATTTATCCACGACGGAAATATTAGACAAGACCCTGCCAAGAACAATTGTTAACTAAGAATACCAAATGACAGACAAAATGCATCAACTCTGAAGCGTCCTGAATGACTTTCCTTAAAAGGCTTGTATAAATTTCGTGGGCTAGATTTCCTGAATAGTGATTAAAGAATTATATGCTTATAGTAATTATAATACTCACGTATGTTATTAGTGCCAAGCCACAATCATTAACGAGAGCAAACTAAAAACCGACACTAGCAATACTATAGTTAGTGTTGTTATAATAATGTAGCACAGGAAGTATGTAAAAGTAATAGACCATCACAAGCAGAGCAGTAGTAAGATACTCGGCTTTAACGATATCTAGCAACTTGCCCCGTTCTTCCTTCATCGCTCGAAATGTTACATCGGACCTTATTAGCGGCCATCACCGGACTTTGATTTTGCTGGCAATCTTTGAAATGCACATCAGTCATTTATCACAAGCAAAGATAAATTATTTACGCTCGCTGTGATAAAGTACATGTAAGCCAAAAGCCCACGAGGTCTTTTCATGACATATGATGGCACAGTGCATCAACCCGACGAGATGGATACTGTTGAAAATCCACTCTCGCAAACACTTGTCAATCTCCCCCATCGAATTAGCCTGCACTTATACGAAACAAACATAAACCCATAACGCTTAATAAGACCTCAATTTATCATTTATCGTCGTTAACATATATACTGCCATTTAATTGGCTTTTAAACTCAAATGCTAGTGGGCCATACTTTATTCTTTACTACATTGCTTTTCACTCAATTATACAACAATCGATCCATTAAAGATGCTTACTGCAGTTCCACGTAAACCACAAAAAACTCCTGCCAAAGAACTTACCCCTGATAACACCGCTGACACTGATCAATTAAGTCAGGAGGCTTCTGTCTATTCTTCACCAGAACCAGCAAATTCTTTTTCCTATCCACAGAATCAACTTCCAACAACACCTTCTCCTGCATATCGACAAGTAAGAAAACGACGACGACTAACCGAGAAAGAAACAACCATACTTAATGCTGTTTTTGAAGAAAACTCAAAACCAACTCAAAATGTACGGGTCGATTTAGCAAAACAGCTCAACATGTCATCAAGAGCAATCCAAGTGTGGTTTCAAAATCGAAGAGCCAAAGTCAAGAGGGATACAGTGCCAAAGACCGAATCAAAATCAAACAAGGCAAAGAGATTGACGCTAGACCAAAACCAAGAACTGGATAAAACAATACCTGCAAAAATTTTACCATTGACTGACGACGATAAGAATGAAACAGCAACGACAGCAACTACAGCAACGACAGCAACGACCGATAAACCAATTGACAACATAATCGAAGAGAAACCAATTGAAAGACCAGGAGAGAAACTTATTGAGAGACCAGGCGAGAAACAAATTGAAAGACTAGGCGAGAAACTTATTGAGAGACCAGGCGAGAAGCCAATTGAAGGACCAGGCGAGAAACAAATTGAAAGTCAAGCACTGGATCCATCCGCGAGCCCGAGGGATTTGATTACCAATAAACCCAATGAAATGACCTCTCTAACAGGTTCATGCCCGCCCACTTCTGATGAAGATACCGACGCGTTAGTCTCTCCTGCTACACCACAGAATATAATGGCCAATCATGGTAATTTTAGAGGATTTGTATCGAGCGATACAGCTGATACGTCATCGTTAGTGTCCAAGCCCATCATTGAGGAACATAAAAATACCAGTCAAAGTGAAAGTGTCAACAAAGTCTGCAGGCTGCCTTCAACTAACAAAAGAAAGTCGACATGTGAAAAGCTATTAAAGTGGAGTGAGCCGAGTTATGTCAAACACGAGAACTGCGGTAGGTGCAACTTTTGGACACTATGAGAACGACATGATGTATTCATGCTTCATACAGTCAAACTTAGCGTGCTGCCTAGAGAATACATCTATTATGAATGTCCCTATTATGAATGTCCCTATTGTGAAGCGTTATCTCTTTTTTTTTTTTTTTTAATCCTTTACAATGAAAAAGCAATATGACTAAGCCGCACTTTTTTTTTTTTTTTATTTCACTAGATCCATCTCAGTCATTAAGATATCCCGCGAATTTGATATATTTCTCTGGATATCCCCAGACTCAGCCTCTTCCAGAAAATCACGCCGTCGAACCTCCATATATGCCTCCATTATCACTATCATACCCTTTGTTACCGGACATGCCTTCTTCCATGTCCACGTCGATTACTCCCGTACCATTACCCATCAATACTGCTTCAATTTCCCAGAGCCTTTCGTCATCGATACCATGTACACATCCAAACACACATACGTATGCTGTCGCTCCCTTATCGTCTTGTCTGCCGTGTCATCCCTTCATCCCTTCAACTTATCCGCCATCTCAGGTATCACCACCTCAAACAATATGGATTGCCGATGACTCGAGTGCGGCTGATATTGACTATGGTATGGCACGGATCCCTCCTGGATACAACGACAATATTAATGTATTGTATGATATGATGTCAGTGTCGGAACAGCAATGGCAACAGCAGACGGTCGAGGGAATGTATTATCAGCCGTATCAGCATGGAGTGGATGTCATTGATGGTTATACCGCTTACGATAGACACGATGTATATAATAGATACAATCAATGCGCCGAATATAGTGTAAACGAAGTCAATTTGCTTCCACGACCTGTATGTGCTATCACGCCGTTTGCTGGTGCTGTATGGGGAATTGATGATAGGCATACATACGAAGTCGAGTACGGACTAGGCTATGGGCGAATAAACGATGAGATAATTGCAAACGAACGTGGGGTTCAACATGAATATAGAGAATACAATCAGGGCTATTAACTGGATGGATCGAAACGCGCAAGTTGAGAACAATGACAATGCGCGTTCGGATAAACATCAATCTATTCGAATGGAATTTTGCCTTGGCCGTTTGGTGAAAAAAAAAAATTCATGTTATTCGTTTGAATTATTTGGATTAGTTGGTATGGTATTTATGTATGCGTAAAACGGTTTCAAGCTGTATTTCAAAGCATAAAAAATATGTTTTCGTGAATAAACAAAAGATCTATATACTCAACGATTGATGTAAACTGTTGGTTTCTATGGGAAAAGTCAATTACACATGGTTGTTTTTATTTCCATGCTCTCTTTCCCTACGATCTCTTTCGAACATACAGCAAAAATTCAAACTCCAGTCCGTTCTCACTTAATCGTCCCTTGGGTACATCCTCGCCCACAAATCTCACCAAATCCTCATGTTCTGCTTGCTCGTATATATTTTCATCAATTTCAGGGAAGAAAGTATCACATTCAAATTGACGGTATACTCGAGTAAGAAGAATATGAGTGCAGTTTGGTGACTCGATGGCTTCCCGGTATATGTGAGACCCACCAACAATGTAGATACGAAAGATATCGGGCAAGGACGTTAAATGTCTTATTGATTCTGAAAGACTTGTGAAGCTTAGGTTGGGGCTGCACAAGATAAGGAACGTCAGAAACAAACGTAAAATAAAATACACATATTCCGAACAGACTAAAACCCACCTCTCAAGTGATACAACACTCCCACTACGCGATAACACCACATTCAAGCGCTCATTCAAAGGCCGATACTTGGGCGGTATCGAATCCCAAGTCTTTCTTCCCATTACGACGGCATTCCGTATTGTTTTGCTTGTATCTTCTGGTGATATTCCATGCACACGTTTTGTGACTCGCGTAAAATATGACATATCGGTCTTTAGTTTCCATGGCAAATCATTGTTCAAACCTATACCCCAATTGGGCGTAGTGGCTACGGATTATAGAACATACGATGATCGAGAGACATTCCAATACGCCTTGGCACAAGCATAAAAGTCACAATATGAGATCGATTCTGTTCTTACCAACAATGAGTGCATAGTTCGGTGGTTTACAGGATGCCATAACTGCGATCCCCGGGAAATTCGGTACAAAATTAAATCCTAAAAGGAGAAACACGCAAAAATATTGTGCCACAGGCACGACTTCTAGCAATACATTAATATTAATGGCGTTTAGAATCTGGCAAAAATGGCCAATCTATAATCTGTGTATTAACTTGAGAAGGCCAAATAACCTGCTCGGTCTTTCTCAATGAATGAGTTATAATCTGTCTCTTTGAATTAGTTCTTACTGACCGAGGGCCTTTGAGCTATTAACTAATCAGGACGCGGATAGTTTTGTACGTAAACTACAAACTTCTATAGATTGTCGCAATAGAAATAGTAATAGGGTGTGATTCACATCCGTAAATAGAAGTGGTTCTATGAAAATATGTCCACATCTCCCATACTTATTACAGCAATAATAATGATCACATCGGACGACAAGGATACTTCTGGCCTGACAATGATGGAATATTTGTCAATCACCAAATAAAAAACAAAGATAGGCATTTAATTTTGATAGAGCAACCAAAAACGTGCCAATACGGATCAACTCTATTGCCCAAAGTAAAGGAATTATTTTGATGCAGCAAAGGGTTTAAGATAATTGACCAGTTTCTCTTTGTTAGATAAATAATATCCGATGCTCACTTTTAATTAATTTGGTCTTTTGACTATAATGCTGTATTTGAACGTAGGAAGCGCACTAACTATAATTTGACGATATGAAGCAGAGTAAGCCAAAACGTGGCGTTCAGTTGTGAATCCTGAAACTCTTCTGTGAAATCTTTCTGGGGTTTGTTGCAGCATACCATAATATCATCATTAAGGATTATATGCAAGAAACGTTCAGAAATAAACATGTGTATTGACGCTCCTATCCTCAGGGTCATTCTCAAATCTTCCTTCGTTGTACGCTTTTAATTTACAAGATAACTGATGTATTTGTTGACCGTTAACCTTTCCCAGTAAATTAAACTATAAACTAACAGTACCATACAACAGATCTTCTCTGTATATATATAAAAAAAAAATCCATTTTCCACCTCAGCTACATCCAACATCACCGCCGCTTGCTTTGGTATTCAAAATCAACCCGACAATTAACCCGTAAAGACCCAAGACTTCAGCGAAAATGAGAATAAGAATCTAAGAGAATGAATTTCAAGGTACAAAAGGTCATCGATCACCAGTATACAAAACACCGTTCGAGTTAAATACGTATTAATAATTATACAAAGTCATTATTGTTTGATCATTATGTTACATACCATTCCAACAAAGAGCTTTGGTTGTTGTGCAGTAGCCCGTACGCCTGCATCGCCAACAACACCGATAGCAAAACCAGCAGCAAGTCCGGACAATCCTACGCTTAGACCAGCACCCAGTTGGATAAATCCACTGTAGAAACAACGTGATTAGAAATGAATGAAACGATGAAACGTTATCATCAAATGCCGGAGAATTCAACACTGGTGTTACTCACGTATATAAAGCCATCCTCTGTTTCACTAAGGGTAAAAGTCAAAGTTTGTGGTTATATTAGATAAATAGTTTGAATTAGGGTCGACGGAAATAGTTTAAAATATGGATCGGCTCGTTATGATTACCCGACATGAAACCCTCTACCCAATAGCACTCGATTACTTACGTCCATCGGAAATCAGGACCGATACTACCAGACCATAAATACCGATAATACCAGCCATAACAATTGGAACAATAGCTTTCATTACAAGATCCGGACGTAACACTCCCATCTTTGATAGACCAACTCCTGCTTTAGCTGTACCATATGCTGCACCAAAGCCTATGAATTTCAAAAGATACGATTAAATGACAAAGTTATACCACAACTACTATAAACGACTTGATTGTTTCCAAGTATCTAATGCATCGAGTTGCCGATACGATCATTAGCTAAATAACGGCAATAATAATACTTGTCATATACGATAATGCTGCTGACTTGCGTGTTCAGCAATATCGCGAACAAAGGCAAACCATTATCACCACCCATGACCACGAATCTTCCAATCCATCCATAACTTACTAGTAAATGCAATAGCAAAAGTACATCCTAAAGCACCGAATATTGGGGCATAGTTCGGACTAAACCATTTACAAGCAATACAAACTCTTGTTATTTTCGCCTCGTCTCAATGCAAAAGCGAATAACACCTATTCGTCACATACCAGTAATAAAAATCAGTCATTTCCGATACTTTTTCTTATGACACAAAGTAACAATAACGTTTCAACGTCGATGCTCTGTCTACCAAGGAAATACAAAGACAATTACTGTCGCGATGAAAAGACAAGGTAAAAGCCGACCAATCTGGAGAGCAAGGGCAAGTCGGAGAGGGTATATCAAACGTGGAGAAAAATCAAGATTGGGCTTGATGACTAGGATGTTTATTACTGATGAGGGAGTGACAAGATGAATTGATGTGATTTGATGGTGGCGAACTTGGTGGAACATCAGGGGTTGACAAGAATATGGCACGTGATGTAATAAGCGAAGTTAACATTAATATTAACGAATTCTATTTGTTAATTTAATCGATTAACACACGCCAATGCAGGTGATAAAATTGTTCTTTTTATAATGAACGTATCAATCGGTTTAATCAGCTGGTTCTTGCATTTTTAGGATTGTTCTCTGGGCTCTGAAAGTTCAACTTGGTAAAGTGATGGGTTGTCTCAGGCCTGCTACATAATCATATGTCAAATGCATTCCTACAGTCTTTGTTCATAAATTCTAGAGATGAGAAAGACCGCTGCACTTATCTCAGACAAGATTCACGCTGATGATAGTCTGTTTCTATTGAGGCTATTTCTCTGGTATTTATTAGCTAAAAGATTACGAGTTTAAAGATGAATTACTGGTCAATAATTGCGCGCTCTAATATTCTTTCCTATCCTAAAGACGATATACCTAGTTGAAGTAAATTCTATTGCGGGCCTAGCAATTATTGTACTCTGCCAATACAAATTAATACGCAAGATGATTATCTGATTATCCACGATAGATATTTAAGAGATATGTCGTGGAACCAATGAAACATATACACTACCTACGAGAATTTGTTCATAGCAAAGTACTTAGAAAACAATCGAGTAATCTTTGGCTAAGATATATTTTCATTTGCAATCTTAATTAATTGAATCAATTGTTGGCTGTCGGTGGCAATTAAATCGAGTATTCGTATCTGCGGTGAGATATTGTGATTAAGGAATGCTTTGCGATTAATTACAGTAGTCCTGGGATTGTAAGGCCGTATCCATTTATGTCAAAAAGAATAAGAATTGTATTATCGTTTCTAATACTAACAATTTTACTCTTGTAGATTTAAAATGTCGAAAAAGCTGTCAGCCAATAGAATTAGCGGATGATAAATTTTTAATACATATTAATATTAATATATTCCTGTTCTGATGCTCTCTTTTCTCAATTTGTGAAATAATACAATTATTTTTCGTTGAGAACAAACCTTGTTCGACGGCAAATATAGTAATCAAAGGACAAATTCGCTGAGGGAATTGGTAAATATAACACAACTTACAGGTGATGAATTTATTTGTATAATTGTAAATGATTATTCGCACAACACGATAAATTCCGTGATATTGATTTTAGCACAATGCTTACGTAAACAAATCGAGTTAGCTTTTTGCGAAAATCAAGGTTTTTAGGTTATTGTAAGGGTGCATCATGAATTCTATTTATGAATAAACGTATGCCTGGATTTTGTTTGTTGCGTTAGTTCACTTCGATCAGGTTCCACCGTATCACTTTAACCTCATTTCACGTGATAAAAATGATACTATTATTATTTCTCTTCGGTTTACTCGTGGAACGAAGAATGGAGAACCTCCCACGTCGTAGAAGTAAAAGACCCGCCACGGTTGCTGCACGCTCGATCATAGAGCGCTCTTCGGATAACGAGGAGTCTACGTCAGATCCGATAGACAGCAGTCCAGCTGAGAACATAATTAAGGCGGTTGAATACGCACCTAGTAAAACTACTATCATTGATACCATTACCACCGACGACGATGTTTCTAGATGTGTTGGATATAAAGCAAACATTTATGACACTAGTCTTGTAGTATGTACCTGGAATGGATGTAATCGCTATTTTACGATATGGAATAAGTTCGTTTACCATCGCACAAGAGAGCATAATACTACGGATCTTGCTAAAGATATTTGGGTATTCGGTAATATTAAAAAAGGCGAGAGCAGCAATTCAGCGTCTGGAGAAACTAGCGGGAGCGGAAAGGACGGGTTAACTGGAAAGGGAGCAACGGTATCATCCGAGGATAGAGAGAGTGGTACAATGGGCAATGGAGGAAAGTTGGAGGAGGCTGCACCTAAAACGAAAAAAGTGAGACAGAATACAGGACCACAGCCAGAAGTGAATTCACAAAATGACGCTGCAAGTGGTAATAAGCGCTTGCGCGAACGGGAAAGCGAAGAGCTGAAGAAGGAGCTTGCCAACAAGCGACAAACATCGCAGGCAGGAATACCAACAACATCGACATCAACAACATCGACATCAGCAACAACATCGACAACGACAACAACACCATCATCATCATCATCAACATCATCAGCATCAGCATCAACGGTTAATGAATTCAGACAAAATCAGCAACAAACATCATTCTCACCTATCTCGTCTTCATATTCAAATACTCAACAACATTCTCAAAAAACACAATCAAATAATAATTCCCAATCACGCACGCACTCTTCACAACAACAAGAACAGCAGCAGCAACAACAGCAACAACAACAACAACAACAACACACAATTCCCGATCGCCCACGACATCAGCAACGCAGCTTCCGCCAAGGACTTTCTCAGTCTCAGGCGAATAAACTTGCAGCTTCTTCTGCATCTTCCAATTCCCATCCGGTCTATAGCCTTGCATATGATACAGCAGAGCCACGATATTATACAACTCTGATGATCCCACCGTATGGAATAGGCCCGTACGGTGAGATACATCCGCCGCCTCCGAGATATGATGGATATGGCGAGATGGCGTATTCGGGTTTTTATAATGGTCCAGGAGCGGGCAATGGGCATAGGAGATTTATGGGTAGTATGGGAAGTATGGGAAATCAACAACCGCCCAGGAGAGGGAGGTAGTTTTTGTAAATTTTTGGGCACGATGAAGAATGGGGATCGAGTCGGATTTTTCTCTGGGATATAAAAAAAATATGAGGAAGGAATAAGAGGACGGCAAGCATATATTGCATTATATTTTACAACTATATTGGATGTCCATCTCTGTTAATAATATCAGAAGTGCTTTTTTATCTCCACGCTTAATGTTCTTCAACTCGTCTAAGTCGATAAGCGAACTTGTAGTCGTTGAGTGTAATACTTTTATGATTTTATATGGATATTTCTCTGACGTTTATACGATGCTTATTGCTCATCGTTCATATTGGCTGTAATGCTAGATTTTCCTTGCTGTATATAAACTATCGGAACTATTAATTTGTGAATTGATCAGAGTCCTTTCTTTTGAATATACATACATACATACATACATATTATATATATATATATATATCAAATATACTTTGCATCATATTTGGATTGAAAAGAGAGGAAGAAAAGAACGAGGGGAGAGAAGAGGAGGGAGGCTGGACAAGTGAGAGGAAATACGGATATATGGGGGGGACATAACTATAAATACTGGGAGTTAAACGCACAACAAACGCGATTGCTGCGAACTTGTAAACTTTAAAAACTTTGACCTTTTTTATTTTTAATTATCATAGATAGTAATGGGAGTAGTCAATCTGGACTGTACAATCGGGGCTTATCTGTAATTAATGAATCTCAAGTTTTTATTTTTACTATTTCTTTTATCAATCAATCGAGGGAGCAGGTATTCCTCTGTACTTTCATCCAACGAACGAAATGTCTTTGACTCAGTTATACAATTCAAGTTAATGTAGAAGTATTGTTTAATTAGTCGCATTATGTTTTGAATTGAATTTGTGTTAATGTTTAAATTCCATAGGATTGCTGTTTGATCAACTTTTACGCTCGAGTTCAACAGTAGTATTATACTTACTTATTAGTTGCACGCAAATTAATTTTCTTTTTTCTCAAATCCTCTGTCGTTCTTCCTGTGAATATTAAATTGCTTGTCGCCTGCAAATGGAATATTTTTTTACAATAAAATGATGTCAACTCGTAGTCAAGATATTAATCAGAAATATGTTGGGGAGCTAATATTGTCATTGGAATCTTATTAACATATCGGATTGCATTCCCATTCATATTGAATTAGGCTTATAAATGTAAGTATTACGGCGAGCCATGGGGTATGAAAATGCTTGATGCGCTGGACTCGTGTATTATGTTCTTGTGCGGATATTAATATTTGTGTTATTGTTATCCGTGATGTGTTAGCCGGTCACTTACAAAACTCGGCCAATAATATATTGCTTAAAGCATGCAATCCAAATATATGCCCCTTGGACGTTCATGGAACAGTTAGTATCCAGGCGTGTCAAAACAAACATGCTATTAACAGCCGATCTGGTATATGCTTGACTTTCCAATAGTTTCATTGAATTTGAATTTGTTCATTTCTTCAAAAGTTAATCACAATATTTTATTGTAAGGCTGGCTGGAAGCTAATAAAGTTTGAGAAAGTGATGTCATATTAATAAATTTTACCGTTGTATGGTTTCCATCATGGCTAGTATGATACAGTCTTGGTTGCGCTTTGTCTACCATCAAAAATGGGTTAAAAGATACAGTCAACCCTCTTTTTATAAGCACACCATGTTTGAGAACCAATTACTATTGAACTTATTATTATAGGAAAAACCCTCTATATAGTCACAACCTCTTTGTAAGCACATTTTCAACAAAAGTTGCATTGTTCCCGACAGCGTGACTATAGAGAGGGTTGACTGTATTAGTATATACAAATACTGTCAATAAATAAAATTATTGTTTATAAGTGGGAGGATGGGTTTGTTTTTTGACTGTTCATAAGAATGTCATTTATGATCAGTTAATCGTTATTTAATGTATGCTTGATAATGGACAGAGATTAATATTTTTGAAATTAGACTTCTTTTTGTTTGTGGAATTTACGCATAATCTTTAGTCAAGATTCATACTAATACATACATCAAACTTCTATATCCGTTCTGCAATTGGTACGTAGGTGTTAGATACAATCGTGGAGAGGCTATAATATAATATTTTTAATAAAAACCAACTATTCTCACAAACATTGAAATATTTTAACAAGCTAGAAATTAATATGTCGTCAAAACCCGACTATTGTAACAAATCGGATTAGAATAAAACAAAACTGTGTTTGCGTACACAACCAACTGGCTCAAGAAAAAGAAGCGGCTAATATTGTAACGAAAACGTCCAACAGCCAATTTCATTTTCACATCTATTAATATTAACCCGTCATCAACTCCTAATTAATAATTTAAATACGTAGCTTGATATTAATGGGCCCTTGTTAATTTGTCAAGGACTCAACCGTATGCACAAGCATAACCCATTTGAGTGAGGCGCGTAGAACGTCTTGACTGGAATTTCCGAACATGAGAAAAATAAAGAGCGGCTGAGGCGATAGTCTACAAAAGGAATAATGTAATTTATGTTCTGTTACAGTTGATATAGCAAGCGTATACTAACTATTAATTTTAACCAATAAAATGTGGTTGCATTTTGCCCTTGTTGATTAAATATTAGTTTGGACATTAAGTTGCTTGGGTCGTGATAATAATCAACAATTCAATGTGAAAATAACAATCTTCCTGACCAGAAACGGGGAAGTTAACGGGAAGTTAACCAAGAAAGCCAAGTGAGAATTCATATTTACAAGTTTCATGGCTTATTCCTTTTATACCTCATATTTATCTCTTTTACAGTTAGGTTTAGCATACTGCTGGGGTAGCTAGGTTTGAACCCCTGGACTTGTGGTCGTGACTCAGCCCGCCTAATTGTTCCAATTACCGAGTATCATTCGTCGAGAATTTGATTGTTGTATACTTTAGGTATAATCATCAGACACGTCATTAGACAATCAAAATCATGCTATATCACAACAAGGCAACTTTCACCGCCACCTCGGATCAAATACAAATACTCAAAACATTCCACCCTTCCTCTTCCACCCTTTTTCTTTCACTCTCTGCTACATACTTATTCACTTTGTTTCACACTCTCTACCCCGTCTCTCTTCCTTCCCCCCTCTTTTTCACTCTTATTCCACTTTAAAATACTCTTGCGCCATTCAGGCCGCACTCGTACCATTAAGTTTATTGCATATCAGATCAACCCCGCTTCTCAACGCATCGTCGAAGAATCCAATAATGACTGCTTCTACAGGCCGTAAAACTGGTCGCGTTAAGTTCTTCAATAGCCAAAAAGGATATGGTTTTATTATTCCAAATGACTTTGAAGAGAATAAACTCGAGGGTAAGAGAACGCATAAAGGAGAGACTTGGAGAGGAAATAGTGTTACAAGAGATAACTTTATTTGAGACATTTTATTAAGAAATGCCCAATAATGAGTTAAACTGGATTCGTTCAATTGTTACAGTAATCATGCATTGATCCATTAAGTTGTGAGAAATGTAACCAAGTATATCAATATCTGAACATCCTCAACACTCTCAACGCTTGAATATGAAACATCAAACTTGATCAATTTGTTTCAACATACGTTCGTTTATAATCTTATGATTTATCATTTTATCTTTATTCTTTTCAAAAAAAGTCTTCGTACACTACACCGCTATTCACAACGATGGTGGATTCAAGAGTCTTGCTGAGGTATAAACTGCGCCGAAACTAGACTGTTTATGATTTATATTTAACTTGTTAGCCACATGTATTATATTGGTGTTTACTAATTTTATACGTTGTATACTATTTGCCATGTACAACGAAATAGGGAGAAGAGGTATGTATATACGTCCTGCAGCAAAAAGTCATCGCCCAGCACAATTATTTAATGATTTACCAGTTTATTCCATAATCATACTCACTTATTTCTCTTCATAATCACCACGCCTGTTCTCTCCTCGATTGTATCACACTCGCCCAATTGCTGGGTACACGATGATCTGGATGAAGGTTGAGTTCGACATAATTAAAGGACCAAAAGGATTGCAAGCAGCTCACGTATCTGGACCCAATGGGCGTTCGGTCAAAGGAGATCCGATCGCGCCAAGAAGGCCGTTTAGGTAGATAAACAGGGATAGAGAGAAGAAGAGAGGAGTAGGAAGTATATGGAAGGAAAAGCGTTTGTATAGTCATAGGAATTCGTGGGGATCGGAATATTGGCCAATTCAAATTTACGATTTGCAAAAACGTCTCGCATACTAACCAATTGCCATTTGCAATGTTTTTCTTCACACTCAATTTCAGTACTTTTAGCGGAGCATACAATTATGGAGCAGCTGGTAACTCATGCGAAAGTCATGGTACTAGTTCTCCATTGACATCCATCTTCTCTTCTTTTTTTTTTACGTCAACCATATCAACTCATGCTATCATTCTCTTTCAACCCTCACTACATCTTATTTTAATGCATTCTACCTTCCAACACCACTCCTTCACTTGCGGTCGATCCTCATACGCATCATAATTCTCAAACACCGTCCACTTTAGTCTATAAATATTACTATAAATATCCCCCCCCCCGCATCCGCATCCTCTGGGCAATCCGCCTACCCCCATTCCCAGCACACTTCCATTGACGCAGCAATCGTATCATATCTCGCCACCATTTCCATCACAGGCGTTTCCGGGACAGCAAGCGAATTTATATAGTCAGTTTGCGCAATACGGATACATTCCTGGAGGAAACAATCATGGGAGTGTCGGACCGGGGTATGTCCAGCTAATTGCGCCGTATTGTAGAAACGGGCATGGTGTTGTGAACAAAGGTAATAGTGGTGGGAATAATGGGAATGCGGGTGGCAATACTGGGAACACAAGTGGGAATGCTGGAAAAGGAAATGGACAGGGTCATGTTCAAGGATATGCGCAAACAGAAGACGCACACGGAATTATCACATACAGAATCTCTGCAATCGATCAGAATATGAATGGAATGGACAACATAGGCAGAATGAATGGAAAGGGGACAAATGGAATTGGTCCAATGAGCGTCAACGGGGATTGTATCAGCCCACGAGCCGATACCCAGAATTCAATGATTTTTGTTGCCCCCAATTCGGGTTTCTGAAGAGGTCGGGAAAAAAAAATAGTGAGGGAGTATTATTAGTGCTTTCTGTACGCTAGGAGAAAAATGGCTGAGTGCAGTATTGGTTTTAGTGCCGTATCGTTTATTAGTAATGGCTGTTTGTTACTACGTCTTTGCAAAGTGGGGCCGTCTCATCGGTTGTTCTGTTTGGTTTTATAATCAGGAAAATAACATTTTTTAATGCTATACAACACTTATATAACCTTATATAATTATATAATAATAGTCATACAAAACTTAAATTAGAATGTAATAAAATAACCACGAACTCAACATGCAACTTTGTTGAATGGCTGGAGGAAAGAGGAAGGTAATAAGACAGCAGCAGGTGTAGCTTCCGCTATCTTGAAGATTTCTATAACATGCTCAAAGCAATAAAACATTATATAACCAGGGCACATGTTCGGTGAAAGTTAATAGGCACACCATGATGTTCCACTTCCCACAATGCATGACTATTTCTTCAACTTGAAATTGTGCATTGGTCCCAATTGCTCTTACGTCATTTGAAGTACAAGCGTAAAGTGATCGCTCACTAATAATAGTCGCGCTTTTAGTTATTCTACCACGTAATCCAAATTCTCTCAATGACCCGCCTTTCGGCGGCGGCTCAACTAACAATCTGGTCTGCGACTGATTTCGAAGCCTACGATCGACAATGCCAATAGCATACAGCTCCTAAATTGCTGACAAAACCACGATTCATCTCGCATGATAACGTGACTACACATACTATTTTGTCGACTTATATTCCCGCCTACGCTAAATCGTTGTAATTATTTCTTCCACGCCTTCCAATCTCTTTAGTCGGCTCATACGCCTTAGCGCCATATTGCGCGAGAGTGAAACATCTCATTACAGTATCAAATTAAAATCATTGGTTTGCAGGCTTGAACAAAGCACATAACCTACTATTGGTCTATAGATACTAATAATTATCATAATTATAATACGACAAATGGTTTAGCGCCAGAAGTCGTTGACTATCCAGGTTATTGTATTGACACTGGAGGCAACGTATCTGTTGGAAACCAATATCGCGTAAAATATTGATAACATAAAATAGTATAATCTTTGATACATAAGCATTGTAATACGGTAATTCAAACGACATAACGATAATGTGGGCACTGGTAATAGTAACACCAATTTAAAAGTTCTGGAAATTATCGAAGGATGTTGATTATCAAATTGCAACGATACACAAAAAATCTTGATGTCATATTGATACGTTTCATAATTACATGAATCAAAAGTACATTGTTATTGTGGACATTTAATTTAACGCACTGTTCGTATGAATGGAGGAAGCTTACTCTAAACCAGGATGGGGATATCATATCGCCATAAGTGATAATGGAAAAGAAGTTGTCAAATTTGGCATTCGTAAGTTCATTAGAAGGATATAGATTACAGATTTATTTACTGCTCAACTGATTAGTCATCTCCCATCTCAATAATATTACAAAAGAGAAAGAAGGAAGTGAAATCGTCTGACAGCGTACGAAGTCAACGGAAATGAAGTCTTCAAAGTCTCCGAACGCTATAAAATCAATACAAGGAGCTTGCGACCCGGATTCTACTATGCCAACATGGAGTCTAGCCATATCCAATGCGAAAAAGACTTAGTTGCGTTTTCCTATTTTCAACTAAAGAAACTCATGAAACTAGAATCTGGATGTTCTCCTAGAAGAAAGTCGCGTACGCGGCCTTGTACCGAATAGGAGCGCACATTCGCAAGATCGCAGCTCTACGTACGTGCTTGTGATGGATCGTAATGATCCCGATAAATGGATAAGGATAGAAACGCCATTAGATGAAGTTGCTGGGGTAGTTGATTTTGCATCGGACCCTAACTCGCGAATGAAGGAGGAATATTTCAATACAATATCGATCCGGAGCATACAGAACCATACAAAACCTTGGATGAAACTAGCGTATGGCAGCGTGATATTCCGAGGGCATACAAACACGATATGAAGGATAAGTGGAAAGGTCTACATAGCGAAGCTCACTTTCAATTTTAACAAGGACGATCAAGTCACATGTGTACTTAAAAACTCAGCTAAAGAAGAAAAAGTAGAATTGTCTGTTGTCTGCCAGACTCCAAATTGATACAGCTGATAGAACCATGGATACCAGACGGTAAAATATAATCGGTGTATAATAGGAGGAACTCTGACATTCTATTCACAACATCATCAGCTACTTCGGTAACAATTCGAACAGTGGTTTGAGGAAGGGGAGAAATTTTGTCCGGACGATCACATCAGATGATTGAGCGTGGAATAAAAGAGTGTGGAAATCTATTTTTATTTTCGACAAGACATCGACAACGCTATATACACATATGTAAAGTGTTCGAGTCATTCACTATCGTTATCCTCCAATTCAAACCAACTGTGGTTAGTTAGTTTTTCTTGAACGTCCTGCGGTTTGGTGAATTCTCGAAATTTCGAATATAATAGCGACAATTATAGACTGGTTCCAGATATGCCGACCAGAGGAAAATATCCATGCATGGGACCTCTTCAGTAGAAGGTCCCAGTTGGTTTTTTACTTTCGCAGACATTATGGATAATAATAGTACCCATTTAGCCGAAAACCTCGTCGATGCAGTCTAATAGCTCAGAATCTGCCCGATTAGAAATCTAGGGCAATTTCAAAGAATTGTGTAGGAAGAATTATTATTACTCAAAAAACGAAAGAGCAGTTACGAAACCGAAATTTAGCTGGCGCCAAACAAATTATTGATTAAAGGTATTTCAGGCAGTCTACTTGCAAATTAAAAAACGCGTCGAGTCAATAATCCTTCTAAACAGTTCTTGTTATGCGTAGGTAAAAATGTCATTTTCAATGCCTTTTTTTCCCCGCGCACAGTTTATACGATTTGTGTAAACAAGAATTCACAAAGTCGAAATTCTTTATTTATGCTGGAAACAAATAAAAGGGAGAAATTAATTTAATTTTGGTTGCTCCTCAAGAAGTTTTGTCATAATCACGTTATCGAGTCAACAACCGCAGGAATTTATGCGATTAGTAATATTCGCGTAAAGTCCAAATCGCTTCCGCAGCATTTACACTGACATTACGCAATAGTTTCTTAGGTGCTGCATCGTTAATTGGGAAACCTCGGGTCCCTTCACCTAGAAGTATGCTTCAGCTAGGTCGAATGAGCATCTCTACGTTACACTAACTACTATATCCTCCTTCGTCAGGACTGGGGGGAGTCGGATCTGTAATAGGAATCAGAGCCTGGGTAATGTCCCTTGCCCAGCGCATTGGTCAACGTTTATTGACACCTGATATACTGGGATTGGTTCGGACGATTGTGACAAATGATCCATCTCGCAAACTCGCTCATGATATTGTCTGGATAAACGACGTATAAGATTATTCGTCCCCAATGTCGGAGCTGTGGATTATCTAATAGTGATACCATAATCCTTGGCGAAAATTTTTCTATTAAAGATATGTCTATTCAAATCATTGGGTTGCCCATTCATTATCAAAAGGCTCACATGCTTATTCATACGATTATAACAATATCTCAGCGCATGACGCTATCAAAGAAATCTTGGCGTAAGACAGCGGGGCACCATGTCACAAAATTGCGCATCATTGATAACACCAAAAACAAGTACATTCCCAGAGTACAAGTCTCATTCCCTTACAACGTGAGTGTGCATTTGATGGAAGGTATAACGAGATGATCAATGACCCCATTTCACTGGCTGGCAGCCAAGCTAATTTTAAAATTCTGCATATTATGTCGTGACTGCTCCTAAAGATGGTCTTATCAAGCTCCGATCAGGGTTGACTAATGTAGGAATCTGCGTTGTAACGATGCACAATCGACAAGTACAGTACATGCATGTCATACATTTTCACAATTATAAAGTTAATCGCATATATCATGATCCGTCACATTGTGGAGAGAAAGGTTGGAAAGCCGACATTTATTTACACGTACTGTTCGTATGAATGGAGGAAGCTTACTCTAAATCAGGATGGGGATATCATATCGCCATAAGTGATAGTGGAAAAGAAGTTGTCAAATTTGGCATTCGTAAGTTCATTAGAAGGATATAGATTACATATTTATTTAATGCTCAATTCATTATTCATCTCCCATCTCAATATTATTCCAAAAGAGAAAGAAGGAAGTGAAATCGTTGGATACCTGACAGCGTACGAAATCAACGGAAATGAAGTCTCCAAAGCCTCCGAACGCTCATATAAAATCGATGCAAATTATATACAAGGAGCTTACGACCCGGAGTCTACTATGCCAACATGGAGTCTAGCCATATCCAATGCGAATATAAATAGAAAGACTTTAATTGCGTTTTCCTATTTTCCAACTAAAAAAACTCATAAAACAAATTCGGATTTAGAATCTGGATGTTCTTCTAAAAAAAGGACGTTCGTACTTAGCCTTGTACCGAATAGGAGCGTACATTCGCAAGATCGCAGCTCTACGTACGTGCTTGTGATGGATCGTAATGATCCCGATAAATGGATAAGGATAGAAACGCCATTAGATGAAGTTGCTGGAGTAGTTAATTTTGCATCGGACCCTGACTCGAATATGTGGCTACTGACAGTATCGAATGAAGGAGGAATATTTCAATACAATATCGATCCGGAGCGTACAGAACCATACAAAACCTTGGATGAAACTAGCGTATGGCAGCGTGATATCCCGAGGGCATACAAACACAATATGAAGGATAAGTGGAAAGGCCTACATAGCAAAGCTTACTTTCAATTTTTAGCAAGGACGATCAAGTCACATGTGTACTTTGAACCTGAGCCAAAGAAGAAAATGCTTCGTGTGTACAATCTACGTGATGGGTGGCACCTTTTCGATCTCCATCACCATGGCGATCCGAGTCTAATTGGCTTTGATACGCCAGTACTGGCAATATCGAAAAATGGCGCCTTGTTGGCAGCTAGTCTTGATACTACGTCTATCAACGTTTATCTGATGGAGAATGGTTTAGAGTGCGGAAGAAACGATGCAACGAAATCGCATAGAATAGTATTGATTGAATTCATCAATAATGACGAATGCTTACTAATTATCAGAGAATCTAAAGAGACACACGAACTAGTGGCTACTATATGGGAGTTATTCACGTGCAGACCCGACAGACCTATAAAAAAAATCAATTTACCAGATTACTTCTTTTATAAAAGACCGAATCTTTATGGCGTCAGATGGGCTGGCAATACGGCAGTTTTTGTCACAGACAAAGGGGATCTAAAATTAGTTCTCGACTGCTTTGATCCAGAAGAGGAGAAAGTCAGTGGAAGAGAGGACCCGCCAATTGTGGCCGACAAACAATTAGAGTATTCGACTGTATATGAATTGGATGAAAAAAAAACATATCGCCTGCCAGACTTCAGATCGACACAGCTGATAATACGTAGGATAGAACCATGGATACCAGACGGTAATAAGATAATAGGTGTATGGCTGGATGAAAGTGAGGAAGGAGGTCGGCGACAACTTCTTATCGGAAGGAATTCTGTACAAATATGGAAGCGCTTACCGGACGGTAAACGTCTATTATCGTACATATATGCGAATGAGGACATCGTAACCGATCTCAAGACAGATCCAAAGGTCACTATTACTATTTACAAAGATAGGTTCGATCTCACAATCGAGCGGGAGAATGTCTTTCCGGGGGACTCAAATCGTGTCTTACGCATCAAATGGCCAATTGATCCTAGTGAAATAGTTTTAGATGCATGTAAAGCCCTTGAATGGTTGGATAAGAAGAAGGACAAAAACTATAAGCACGAGAGACGCATATTGTTCGATGAAATCAAACATCAAATTACCAATATTGTTCGCATCTTTATTAAACGCCATCCTGATGAATGGAGTTTACTCGAAGTGCGACACGACTTGATGAAGTCTTTAATCATTGGAGGGTGTTCTCGCCTGACACAAGACTTGATTAAAGTTAGTGACGGTGAAAATAATGAAAACAATGAAAATGAAAACAATGAAGAGGAACATCGTCGTCGTCTGTTTCACATTCCGCGAAAATACTCATGGGATAATGATAAGAAGAATACTGATATAATGGTGGTCATCGAGAAAAACGACAAGTTGACCGAGAACTTTCTCGCGTATTATGCTCATCATGCCAAAAACCATTATGGTTGGATGCATACAGTAGGAGGAGCTCTATCGGCGTTATCCGAGTTGGAATCATCTAAAGCAGACAGTGAGTTTTGAAATAAAAATATTCGTTGATTAAATCTGGCTACTACTTTTAGCATCAAGTTCTCTTACTATTCACCTTTCTATTAGACCTGGATATTCCTAGGAAGAGATTGTTGGCTTATCCAACGTTCGCCGGAGATTCATTACATTCTCATAAGCATCCTCCCACGGCTTACACAACAATTTTTCGATCATCACCAGAGATTCACGATGACTTGGAGCCATTATCGAGAAATGACGTAATTGCAAATTTGAGACACACCCATTTGACTAAAGCAGAGGGTACGGCGCTAAGGGTCAAGTTGCGATTTGATCAATTTAAGCGACGACTCAGGGACGTTAAGCTTGCAACTATAGTAAAAGTCATGCTTATCCCCTTCTCGTTTGCTTTGAGAGCCGTCGCAGCTATATTTGACAGAGTAAGGTAAGACTTTCGCGGCAAGGATGAAAGGGGTGGGGGATTTCGGTAGCTTTAAAAATCTTGAAAACGCGAATGTTACCCAATGTAAATTTTTCGTCTTTCAAGCTATTCGTTTTAATAATTTCACGCCAATTTTTCTTTCTTCCATCTCTAGGGATCCCGAGACACGTATAAATACTGTGCGTCGTATTCCGGTACCAGTTGACACCGATGTCGTTAAGATTCTACAAAATGCTGTGGATGATGAGGATAGTGAAATATTTTTTGATAATCCGGTCGTTTCTGGCCTTATCAGTTATGCATGGGAGGGCGCATCTTATCTCTATTTCGCGTTTTTGATTATGTTTTATTCTTATTTGATAGTCTTTGATGTATTTATATGGCAATACATTCAACAAAACAATAGTCATTGGTTTATAGTTGTATACCTCTTTGCAATTGGGGCATATTATGCATTTTTTGAAGTGACTGAAATTTACAATAATAAGCGAAAAGGCTTGACGTTCTACAACGCAGTCAACGTATGTTCGTTTATTCTTCCTATAATAACAACTGCAGTCTTGACAATCAAAGCAACGCGTGATGACGATGGGACGTGGGGATTTAGTCAGACAGAAATAGGCAGAAATATTCTCTTCCTAATTTCCATTACTACATTCATCATGTGGTTCCAATTACTGTTGCTTCTAAGACCATTTGAAGGTGAGACACGATTTCTTGGGTTTCGAGTGTTTTTATGTAACATTTAATCTTTAATACTGTACTTTGCGAATACGTCAGCTATTGGCTCTTATGTGTTCATCATCAGCAACATAATCTCGCACATTTTACCATTCTTGGTATCATTGTTCATACTCATTGTAGCGTTCGGGCATGCCATGTAAGTAGATTCACAGCAGTTTCTTGAAAGAGGTATATAAAATACTAATCCTGCGTTTCTCACCAAAGGTACTTGCTTTTGCATGATCCAACGCAAATTGGTTTGTCACCAAACGTTCTACAACTCGGTGTCAACATGACAACTCCTAATGGCGACGTCGAGCAGACGAATTTTACAGTGTATCAAAGTTACAATTCGCACGACGTGTCTGACAATAGTTTTGCAAATTTCTGGACTTCCGTGTTATCCTCTTACAACTGGATGAATGGAAGATGGGATAATTTGGACTGGAATTACTATGCAGTTACAATCTTCACCGTCATTGCAAGCTTGCTTCTAGTTATTATTATGTTAAACATCCTTATTGCCATCATGGGCGATATATACGCGACTGCCAAGGTATTCGGGAAACGAGAAATCTTGAGATTGCGCGCAAGATTCGTGCTAGATACAGAGTAGGTGACATCGTTAGTGAAATCGGCTATTTGCATTACTTATCTTTATGAGCTGACATTCTATTCACAACATTCATCAGCTACGTCGGTAACAAGGCGTGGAGTACATTATTCCCCTCGTATAAGCCATCGTCGCGCTTTGAAGATGTCGTAAAGAAAAACCCACGATATATGTATGTTCTTGGTAACCGTCGGCAATTCGAACAGTGGGTTGAGGAAGGGGAGAAATTTCGAGAACTCACCAAACCGCAAGGGATTCAAGAAAAACTAACTGACCACAGTTGGTTTAAGTTGGAGGATAATGATAATGGATGACTCGAACGCTATATATGTGTATATAGCGTTGTCGATGTCTTGTCGAAAATAAAAAATAGATTTCTAGATACTCTTTTTATTCTACACTGACATCTGATGGTGATAGTTGTGGAAATTTGACCCCATAAACCAATAATATAATCGCGATAATTATAAACTGGACGAGGCTACTTTTTCCGATGAATTACATATACCAAAAGTAAAGCCAGAGAAAATACCCATTATAAAGTCAACGAAAGAGCAGTTACGAAACCGAAATTTTGATAAACTATGAGTGCAGGCTAGGGATGTTAATCCAATCTGGCAGTCCCAATGCAAGATTGGACTGGACTAACAAAAAATTGGCTACTTAGGATTGAAATCCTATAGGATGGTTGTGAATCGTCCCATAGGATTGAGTCTTTATAGGATGGTTACGAATGATTGAGTCTTTATAGGATGGTTACGAATGATTGAGTCTTTATAGGATGGTTATGAATTGTCCCATAGGATTGTCTTTATAGGATGGTTATAAATAGGATTGAAATCCTATCCTAATCCTTTAGACTGCTTTCGGTCCAAATTTGAACTTGAATTTTTGATTCACTGACAAAATCACTTCGGAAAACTATATAAGTGCAGCTATAAAGTCAGAACTGCAGCTATTATAGCAAAGTCACGTGATACTGCGTTGCACGAGTCATTGTATAGAGCCTGTTTAGTCTGCCAATCCTTTTACCGATCATTATCCTATAAAACTACAATTCTATTGAGATGATTCACAACCATCCTATAAGACTGCAATCCTATGAGACGATCCACAACCATCCTATAAGACTGCAATCCTATGGGACGATTCACAATCATCCTATAAGACTGCAATCCTTACAACCATCCTATAGGACTACAATTCATGAGACGATTCACAACCATCCTATCCTATGGGGTCGTTATTTAGTTCGTATTAAACAAATTATTGGGTAAAAGTATTGTCATATCGCAGGCAGTATATTTGCAAATTAAAAAACGCGTCGAGATCAATAATCCTTCTAAACAGTTCTTGTTTGCGGTAACAGTAAGTAGAAATGTAATTTTCAATCTTTTTTTTCCGCGCTAATTCTTTTATTATTTGAGCGTGGGAATTAACTTATTTTGGTCGCAGACCATCCATATACTTTTAAGGCTTATTAGTAAAGTGGCGTATCAAAAGTCATGTCTTGTTGTAGGACGTTTCTCCGCCTTGCATATGCTTGCAAAGCCTCGAAATCGTTACAACGAACTAACTTGACTTCTCTCAATTTTGTTAATTTTTTTTGTTGCTTCTCCAACGGTTGCACAGCCTGCTCACTGATATTCCTGCAATCTTTGAACACCATTGTCTCCAGGTTTGAACATTGGGCAAGAGGGCATAATGAGAGAACATTACTAAAATCGGTATGTTCGATCTCTATGCGTTCTAGTGTACAAGCAACACTGGATAACGCAGCAAGAAGTTTTGTGGGGTCGACGCTAACGACGCTGCTCCATGTAAGAGAACGCAATTGTTTTTGAGCAGCTATTAGTCTCAAGGCTGCCTTTATCTCTTCTGTTTCGGGAGCTCCATCGAAATTGAAATAATCGATCTCTAGTGTGGTCTAGGGCGAGAATGTGTAGACGATGTTAATTGATGCCGATAACGATAATCAATAAATACCCACTCCCGTTTATTTTTAACACACATACTTACAATTTTTGTACAAACATCAGCTAGCCGGTTTACAAAACTGGTGCTGTCAAATGCGGCTCTAATTACAAAAACTTGCAGATTTTCAATCCAATTACGGGAATGGAATATCACTTCGTAATTTCTCGCCCATAGTCGGTTAATGTGAAGCCCGGCTACCTCCAACTTAATCAAGCGGTTTTTGTTTTGCGTGCTAAAAAATTCAAGTAGGGTGCGTACGAGTTCTCTCTTTTTTTTTGGAGTGTTGCTGGCAGGCAGGTTTTCTCCGAGCCATCTATCGACGAAACAGAACAGCATCTCCAGTAATATGGAATTTACGTATTGCCCATAGGGCGTCAGCAAAGGTCCTTTAGGAAGTAGTTCGTAAATTCCCAGGTTTTTCCTAGTCACCATCGGTAAGCATCTTAATAGAATCTCCAGGGTCGATAAGGTAAAGCCGTTCTCGAAAATGTTGCTCCACAAAATTCGCATGCTCACATGAAACCAATTTTTATTTACAAGAGCTGTATTTGTAAGGGCCTTCTTTCGAGGAACTCGGATGATAGCGTGTTCATTTTCACATAAATGATCATGAATGATAATGTGTAAGACTTCAGGAGGAAGCATGGCAGCTAGGCCTTGTCGGGAAGATGACATTTGGATATATGTGGAGATGGTGATGAGGGGGGGGGGGGGAAATGTATAGGCCTTTGCGCAAACAGAGGCAGGGGATATCTAATTTCGTGGTATGGACAGATGTTTTTCCAGTTTGATATTAATGCTTATAAATGCCAAGTGAAGATGAGATCTTTTGATTGCGCAAACAGAGGCGGGGGATATTAATTTCGTGGTATGGGGACAGAGGTTTCCAGTTGATATAAATGCCAAGTGAAGATGAGATCTTTGATTGATAACTTTCCCTGAATTGAGTTTGACTCCATGTGATTGTGGGCTGTGTGCATTCAACGAGATTATGGTAAAGATTGCTTTAGAATTGGACGCATTCAATGTAATTAAATATGAATATAGGGCCTAATTGATGCAAGTTCAAGAAATGGTAATAGTAACGAAACCCTTGTTAAAAAATAGTCGGCAACGAAACCATGGCATTAAAAACGAATTACTGGGTTTTTTTTCTGTCAGTTTTGGTTTAGCTTTCATAATTTGTCCAAAGCAACGATAATAACAGCCCTGATTATTGAGATTCGTGGGAACTAACAGAACTTTAAAAATTCAAATCACATGTGTGCCTATTAAAGATAACGACAAGCCAATGAACTAGGGTACCATGTAGTCCTAATTAGGTAACCTTGGGGTAATTATACTGAGAATTATACTAATACGGATAAATAACGTTACTTATAAATCGTTTAGGTATTACAAACATCCAAAATCATTTCAGATTAGGGGTTGGTGCAGGGTTTCAAGTTTACTATTATTGGCAAAGTTTACCCATGACGTGAGGTTTTTCCAGTAAAACATATGAAAATCAATCCATTGGCTGTTATCCATCCACCTACGAAGTGTAGGCGATGTATCTCCCGGGCATCTCGGACATTTCTATTTGTTAGCAAGCTTGAAAGTTAACAATTTCTGCATACCTCTGGATGCAGTGTCACAAAAATGGCAGACATATCGGTAAGTCGGCGAATCTAGATGGCTCGTTAATTTGATTCAGCCATCAATTCTGCTGCACAATTTTTAATTGCATTCTTCCACCGAAACACTGCTTATTATTACGTTATTCGTTTTGAAGTATTTGTTATTTCTGCTGTGTGCAGTACGAAATAATTATTCTAACTAAATTTATCCATCCATTTCTTTTTTAGCTCCATTATTGAATTGAGGCCTTCCATGAATAAATCCACCATTATAGCCGAATGTACTTTACGCAATAACATAGACGATAACACAGTTTATCAAGGTTGGCAAAGGACTAACGTGATATTTGCAGAGCGCGAAGCAGACAATAGCAAGTTGTATTGATTGATGGCAACGAAATGTTGATGCTGTTAAGAGACAACTGAGATTGTCACAACCGGTTTACATTTCAAGAATCGAGAAATATATAACGTCAAAGTTGGATAGATTCTCTTAAGACAAGTTAGGCTACAGAGTTATTTTCGTCTAGCATGTCACTAATTTGTTTTCTTTTTTTGACAAAATTCTCGCTGTCCTTATAATTCATTTTTCAGGTTTGGTTGCAAATACTTAAAAATAATTATTATAAGCATAATATATCTTTTCTTTCTTATTTTTGTAAAGCAACAGAATTATCAACAAATTAATTTTTATGGAATCAGCAATAATTCAAAACTTGCGGTATTTGATGCTTCACTACGCCAATTACGACTTTCGCCGAGTTGCTTATAAATGCATGCACTCCTGACTTTTATGTTACATGAAGAATTTAAGTTAAACTTGTGCAACATGTAAAACAAAGACTTGGGTTGCACTACTTTTCTGGCTATCTTTTTTCTTAATTGTCGTTTTGATGGCCAGTTTGCTACGTTCGAACAACGCCGCGCGCCTATTTAACACAAATTTCATTGTGAATATGGATATTTACCGAAAAAGGTTTCTAAAAAGACTATACTGTAATCTACGATAACACGAAATTTGACTAAAATAGGTTATCTCAGACCTACATACCTTTTGGCGGCAGTTAGATGTGTATTAATTAGTATACGGTTTGGAACGGTTTTTAGCGGTATCGTTTTTGTAATACGCAGTCAGTAGCCCGCCTCAAACACCTGTTTCAACCCCCAAAACTCGAATCTCGACCGGCATTTAAAAATCTATCCACCCTCCAAATCGATCGATGATTATATTAATTTCGTCTGGTGCGCTAGTGGTGCGCCGTTGACCCCTTATTATAGCACCACTGGTACACCAGGCGAAATTAATCACCAGGTGCCTCACTTATAAAAATCACGTGATCTAAGATATACGTTTAATTAAATCGTTAATTAATATTAATAAATTAATACAATTACATCGCAGATAATCTTGCAGACTGGCTTGTCTTGGAGAATTGACTTTGTTTTCTTCTTATCTGCCGTTGTAAATCTACAACACAGAACTGCTTACACTCACATTATGTTTATGTCGCAAGCTTTTGTTAACGATGTCAACGAAGACAGAGGGATATAAATGACCTTTATTTATATAGAAAATCCACAAATTTATAACGTCTACATCTTAATCGTATGATCTAATGACATGTCTTACAAATTGTCACGTAAAACCGACTTATCCGAGACACATCCAACTAAGATAGTAATAGCTGCCGATTTAACGACTTATCGAGAATTTTTAAATGGTGAAAAAAAGAGCCGAAAAATTTTGGCCGACTTATCGAGACTAATTCATCAAACTTTTTCGTAATTTGGCGGCAGAATTTAATCAAGCGTCGTTAAAATTATTACATATACGGTCAAATGCCGAATTAAAGTTGGTTTTTACAATACAGTCGACCCTCGCTATAGTCACGCTGTCGGGAACGATGCAACTTTGGTTGAAAACGTGCTTACCAAGAGGTTGTGACTGTATAGAAGTTTTCTTTATAAGTTCAACAGTAATTGGTTCTCAAACATGGTGTGCTTATAAAGAAGTTTTATATGATGTGCTTATAGAGTGGTTGACTATAAAGAGGGTTGACTGTACTTAATTTATTACTATACAATTGATCATTACACTGTCCGTACCGAATTATCGAAGTATCGGAACGAATAAAAGAAAGAATCTGATATGAAAAAAAGAATCCGGCATCAAACGTCCGGATTATCGAGGGACGAATTAAAGGCAGTAAATGAAATGTTAATTCGCATACCTTCAAAAACTTCATCTCGAGCTCAGCAGCCCGGTGGCAGCTTCATACATCACGTTGTCAAATTTTATCTCTAGCTAGGAAAATAAATGTAAAGTGAGCCAAAAGACTCAGTACGGCAGAAAGACCCCAACGCATGATAAAGTACATGATCAAGCTCGCTATGGTCTTTAGGCGTCTGACTTCAAGTCATTTATAGGAGAACGCAATCGTCTGCACGACCCCACAAGTCGAAACCTGCAATAGTAGCCGCCTTCACCATATGTAAAATTAATGCAAGTACTGGTAGCAACATCTTGTATGTTTGGCTTCTACTGTCATAGTACGCTCCAGGTCTGCTCTGTATCATAGGTGCTCCTTATCCTTCGTGAGAAGTGTTTGCGAAAAGACTTTTTACTATACTCTAGAAAGCTTATACGAGAGGGCGAAATAAATTTGGCCCCAAAATCAATTATTGTTTATAAATATATTCAAATGTTAGATTTCAAAGGATAATTTTACCTGGGTCTATGAAAGCCTTCGTATATGATTTTTTGAGTTTTATGTAAAAATACCCATAAAAAGAATTAAGATATTGGTGGCGCGCACAAAAGTATCATACGTTTATATTATTATGGCTGTCGTGTAACCCATGGTAATAGTAATAGCTAAAAGTAGATTCGATCATTGGGTCTGTTTGAACAGACTCATCTAAAACTCTTTATTAAAATAATAATAGATATAGCAGATATTATTCGTTCGCCATAGTGTTAACCCAAAATTCGCGAAACCAAGATTCTCGCGGTACGAGTTGTTAGAAGTAGGATGATATTCTTGATAAGACCCTTGTCTAAGGTTCATTATTGTTTTAGAAACCTTATTACTAATTTCTATTTATTCGAGCTGGTTTTTTGCTATAATTGTAATTAGAGTTAATGTATTATCGGTCATGTCACGATCGACAATAATTACACATAATTTGCCGTAAAGCGTTTTCATTAATTATCACACATGCTATTCCAGATCCATTGGACACTCAACGTTATCTAATTTCAAACTGACATAGTCTCGAGTTCTAAGAGTGGGAATCAATAATACACAAAATTGATTCCAATCTAAAGAATGAGCATACACCGTATTCTTCCGACCTCTATCAGGAGACTGGTGTGAAGAGCAAAAACTCTTGTAACACGAGTTCCTTTGTTCGGATGGAAACTATTCCATTGAGCGAAGCTATAGAGAAGCTATAGCGGATGGGAGAGAATCAACATCTGCAATCGCTGTTCGCATCGAACGTTCATGTATGCAGCCCATAGTATCTTTAATAGCTGGTTCGACTTGTTATATAATAAATATGAATATTATGATACACGGGTTATTATTATAGTAGTCCCATTATACTCGCTTGCTGATTCACGCTTTTGTACTCTAATATTCCTCTATCCGTCAATGTATTTCTAATATTGCTTTGACTTGATGCCGTAGTGTTCTCAATCAATATACACCACCATATACTCTCCCAACACCTTTGCACGATGGACATAATTGCGTTCCCAATAGCGGTATTTTTACATTACCGGGACCTATAACACAGAATGTATAGACAATCGTTAGAATATAGACTCGGCAATTGTAGATTCCTAGCTTGGGTTGATGCATGGAATGTCTCTAAATGTAAATGCCAACTAGAACAATACATCGGTTTGATATGACGTGTTCATTGTCAATGAAACTTATTATCTGAATCATTCGGTCCTTCCTTCCTTCCTTCCCTCTTTCATTCCCTTCCTTATTCATATATAGACATACCTCTACACACTGGACATAATCTTCCTCCAAGTTGAGGATTGCCGGGCTGAGAATACTGAACATATCCTCTGCCTGCCCCTGCTCCGGGAGCTGCTTGAGCGATTGCTGGTCTGGAATAACCTTGTGCATGGTACTGACCCGCTGCTGTAGGAGTACTAAATCTAGACCAGCAATCCCTACATGCTTTCCCAGGTTTTTTAAATCCAGTGTTCCGGCACTTGTAACAATAATGTCCATGGGGATATGTTAGTGTATGAGTATTTGAAAATCCCGAGGACGAGACGACTGTATATGTTGATTGTGCGGGTTGGCTATAATACATAGGTTGCGGGGGCCTCATTCCTTGTGGATGCTGAGGTCGATATGTAGGTTGCATTTGGCCTCCTGCCCATGGCCGAGAAGGGCCAAACGCAACAGATTGTTCTCCTGCATTAGGACTTGGCGTATACGGAGGAGGAGACTCTTCTGTCAATATGTCTTGTATTGCCATGTTATTTAATGGACGTGTGTTCGAGGTTTCTGGCATTGTTAATAGAATGGTTGTGGGTAAAAGTAGCAATGAATTACCGATTATTATCATTTTATTACCACTGGCACGTGACAATAGAGTTTCTCATAAAGGGATAATAATAAGGATAGGCAAAGTAACACTACAGAAGCGTATAACTAAAAATGCAATAAGCGAATATCAATATCATATTTAGCTACAACTAAAATATCTAAATATTATATGTGATTTTCAAAGTTTCCAGCATAAGCTGCTTTGCTTTCTTTCATTCCGGAGATTACTGATCCATTTAAATAGTTGAATATGCAGAGATTATTTCTTCTTTATCAATCATATCAACCACTTCTATCCTAGTGTGTAATTGCTTACCATAATATCGTCAACGTTCATTTGATGCATAAGTGACTGGACTGCATTTCTTCAGTTTATAATTTATTTCTAATTCGCATTGTCCTTATTATATTCGATTGCATTCAAAATATTTAATTTGAGAATCTCCCATGTCGAAGATGAGAAGTTGTATTTGGTGGGAAAAAAAATACAACCTAGTGTTACTTACCTTCACCAATTGATTTCATGAAACGTTATTTATTAATAATAAGTTTTTTTCGCCTTTTTCGTTAAATTGTTTGATCCATGCTTTGGAAACAGAACGTTGCATTGTTACAGTAGAAAGTGTTCGTTTATCAATATGATAAATACAGCGTAAATTTTATATTGTAATTTGGGTGTTTCAGTCGAGTCGCGTTACATGTGTCTTTTGGTTTTTTTACATCTAGTAACCGCTGGCAAGAGATTTATGGGAGTCCAACTTCCAGTCTTGTCTGCATTATATACGTCTTCTAAATCATACTGCGAAATTGCAGATTGGAGCTCAGTTCTGATTCATTATCGGTGCACTTGCTGTTTTTCCCAATTATAATATTCTTTTAATATGGTTTTGTTTTCTGAAGTTTGCCATCCAGCTCCATTTTAAATGTTTAATGATAGTTACGTATAGCTAGCCAAATTAATTTTCTGACTGGCTATATAACTACGCATTACTTTAAAAACAATGCGAAAAAAAAATTAATACTTTCTTGCAATTTGATATCATAATTAGAAATATTTAACTTTCTAGCGAATTGTACTATTAACCTCGTTTGCACATTGACATTGCTGTGGCCCCCAGATTGCGTTTTTTATTGACACCCGTTGAACTGCAAGCTATTTCTCTCTTCCTTTAATAGTATCTCCCGCCGTTTTACATTTCTTACCAACGTTTTAGTTGGATTGTTCGGTTTGTATTTTAAAAAACATTTTGATATTGGTAAGGATAATTAATTTCTTTTCTTGCTTCCAAGTCTAGATGTTCATTTTACAAATGTTTGAACATGAATAAATTATACATTTATTGATGGTGCTTTTCTAAATCACTAATGATGTAAAAGTTCCATGGTTTATAATGACTGGTATAATCAGTAGCATATAAACATAATGCGTTTAGCCACGAGAATTTTCTTTCTACAATATCAATGTAGTACAATATTGTCTACGATTATAACGAAAACGATAAAATGATTTATTGGATAATCGATTTACTACAACGGAAAAGATTATTCAGTGTCACTTTAATGTTTCACAAGTTAGTTTCGTTAACTTGAAAGTTCGTTTAAAATCCGTTTCGGAGAAAGTTTCGTTAAAGTGAATTTCACTGTGTATCGCAAAATCACGTGGTGACTTATCGTGGATGTCCGATAATGACTAAAAAATCCCATATAATTTTTGGGGAGTTGAAAGGTTTTAAAGTCATACCATTTTATTGTTGAGTTATGACTTCCGGCACCATTAATAATAAGGTCTTATCAGCTATTATTATATTCCATTAAACTCTCATGTTCCAAGCTGGTTAAGGCCATCTTGGGGGCTAGGACCAATCTAGAGAACTATTTCAGAACCGGAACTAACTAATCCAAACTTACTTCCAAGAAATTAATTGCTTCTTCACTAATTGTTACATACATATGTTTTTTTTACTATATATACAGTCTCGATAAGTCCGGTTTTGGCTTAAGTCGGCCAAAATTTTTCGGCTGTTTCTTTCACTATTTAAAAATTCTCGATAAGTCGGCCAATCTATGTAAATTCTCGATAAGTTGTTAGTCGGCAGCTGTCTTAATCGCGAGGGACTTTTATTCGGCTCCAGCTGTCTTAGTATTAGTTGGATGTGTCTCGATAGTCGGTCTCACGTGACAATTTGTAAAACGTAGTACAGTTTCTTCAATTTAATTGGTGAACCACACCCCGAACGATATTAATTGTCCAATAGAATTACTTATACATTGGCTACACAAATATACTATAATAATAAAATCACGATGCCATTAGAATCATAGCTAAACAGTATTAGATCATACGATTAAAGTCATACGATTAAAGCACTAGACATGTCATTAGAATCATACGATCAAAACATTAAGATGTAGACATTATAAATTTGTGTACTAAGAATTATAGGTAATTGATATCCCTCTTCTTCGTTGACATCGTAACTGATGATGTAATTATCGATGTTGGCAAAGGACTGGCATTATCCCTGAAGAACATCAAACGGAAGATATGACGATTGAAATCGAAGAAAACAATGAAACAGTTGTACAATCACTTCTCAATCAGATATGGACATGACAGATATAATGGCGAACGATTATATTGATATTGATTCAAGTTTGGAAGCAACGCAAGCAATTGATGACAACGAAATTATCGCTGCAGTTCAGGACACAATTGAAAATGAAGAAGAAGCGGAAGAAGATAAATGTCCATCTGTTTCACATAAGATAGCTTTAGAAAGCATCCAAAATTTACTGAACTATTTACAGCAATCGAATAACGTGAGTGTAAGCAGTTCTGTGTTGTCAGGAATAAAAGATTTACAACGCCAGATTAGAAGAAAACAAGTCGATTCTCTAAGACAAGCTAGTTTGCAAGATTATTTTGCGATGTAATTATATAAATATATTAATTAATAATAAACAGTCTAATTTTCAATCACATGATTTTCGATAAGTCGGCCATTTGAGGCGGGCTACTGTTGGCCGACTTATCGAGACTGACTGTGTATAATTTTAAATATTCAATAATTATTTTCGATTTAAACTTTTTTATCAGGGTAATATATTACAAAAAACAACCCGCATGCTTTTTAGTAAAGCAACCGAAGGATCAAGGATTCTGTTGACATTCTTACGCCGATGCAAATCACACATCTTCGAGGTATTGTAAGAAATTTATTATTTTACCTCGAAGTTTTTTTTCGCTTATGTCCAAATGATTTTCAATATCACACTTGCCAAATAATCTAATAGGATATTCGCAAGTAGCCACTAAGGTCTATCTGTGTGATAGAACGATGCGGATTTTGGTATAATAATATCCATGTTCCACTAAGTGTGGTTACACAAGCAATAGATGCTATGCATTCAATTATTTTGTTTGTGTCATGTGTGTAGAAGATATGCAATGGTCATGATAAGATAAATTAATATTAACACTTGAGCAACACAAAATATGATAAAAGTATAAAAATAACTGTAAAGTATCACAGAATCTCACCTTATGGTAGTCTATTGATTCACTGATATACATTTAAGATATGAAATGGCAAAATATACATGACTGTCCTCCCTGTACAATCTTGGGCCTTCAACTTGCAGGTCATTGCACCAAACACTTGAATATGAAGGTGTTTCCTGCATTGCAGCTTCACAATCTTGCTGCAGCCAAATGTCCCAGAAATTATGAGTAGTAGTTAAATTTAGGTTGTTATATGTATGGCATATTGACTTGTATGTTATGGCATAGGATGCAGTCAAATTTTTCTATAAAACCATTCTAACGCTTGCTCTTCTCAGCAGCAGTTCCTCAATGGGAAATAAACCTTTTTTTTTTTAAAAATGTTTTTCAATTTTGAGATTGTATTTGATAGGTCGCGTCCGCTCGAATGTTCTTTCTGGATAAGCATTGTCCAAAAAGTCTCTCCATTCCACAACACTCGTCGGAAAACGTGAGCAAGCTGGTTTTGTTAAAGCTTTCGATTCATAAAGCCATTGGTAAGCAAGGAACGATGGAATCGAGTATTTTCCATTCTTTTGTCAAAAAGTAATAAAACAACATTCTAATGTTACTTGATGTCTTCGGTTTTTCTACGAGTGTACTAACAAACAACCAATATCTTACCTTGGCACGTCTCGGGCACAAGAGAAAACTCGACAGACCAAGACGAATAGAGTTCTCTCTTAACTTTTGGCAAAGCATAATAATAAGGTTAGGGCTGCAGATAGAAAAAAAATTTATTGAAAATAGTTCTATCTTTCTCTCTCCTCAACTTCTCTTTCTAGAAAAATGGTGGGTTATCAGGTTTGACGGGAAGGAATTGTTGTACTGTGAATTTTGAGGCGGATAGTTTTGAATTAAGAAAATATTGCCTTCGGTCAGTGCACTTGCTTCAAACCTCAAACATGGAGACTAGTACTTGTTGCCATGATATAAATATTAACATTATTGTCACATGATGAACACTTTGTTGCTAATTTATATATACAATTAAGTTTTATTATTATTGGCAACCTTTATCCCGCGCATACAGTATTCGATTTTCCAGTAATTCGATCGAAACCCGATTTTTTCATGATAATTTCTTTCTTTCATTCGATAATTTGCTAATTCGATCGTTTAAAAAAAAAAAAAAAATGTGATGACTCTTCAGCTCTTATTTTTTGTATCAATGGTGTTTTCAGCTTGGGATCCTAGCCATTGTGATTGAGTTTTATGAGCATGTGATGGCATCGTTTAAATGCCGAGACGCGAGAAAATGCTCTCAAGCTCGTACAAACTTCAAAGTCAGTCGTTTCATTTAATTTATTTAGCGGATTTACAAGTTAGAAAGGTTATATGCTTTTTGGCCGATTTAAGCATAGCTTCTGTTTTAGGGTCGGCTACAATGTTATTATAACTGATCCGCGACAAAAGTACATACAGTTACATTCTTTGGCGGGTTGGTGAACTTGCTAACTTGCCTAGAAAGCATCAGTGGACTCTAGATTAGTCTGTCAATAGGTAGCAGCATGCAAAAGAACCATCATATCGATAGAACTACTGTTGGATAGAGATTAATACATCTTTACTCGTGTGAGTATTATAAAAAGTAAATTATTTGTGTTTTTGCCAATAATTTTGTTTGTGTTTCTTTCTTTCTATTACATTTGCTAAATTCATTTTAATAATCCTGCCGACTGTCTATTCAATAAATACAATAAAGAATAAATAATTTAAACCTTGGTAGAGGCCAGTGCTGGTATTGAATTGAATTTTAAATATTACTAAGTTTATGATTACTGGGTCTATACACATGACAACTCATCATCCAACTTGGTCTCGTTCTCGTCCTCGATCACGCCATTTTAAGCAAGTGATGGATCAGACGCAAACTCGCGGAACATTGTAAATGCATCCTACATAACAAATTGCAGACCATGAGTATCAGCAATAAAGCAAATAAGAATGCTTTTACTATTTCCATTAATCATGTTTCAATCGACATTTCGTTGTTAACTTACCTCTTTTGTGCAGTCTGTAATTGACCGATGGTATCCATTTTGCAGATTTGTTTCTGTTTGGGGGTAAATAGTGATTGTTGAATGAAGTGTTTTAGAGTGGAGAGCAGCTAATTTACCAAGGCTTCCAGGTGATATGATCTGAACATAGAGACAAGGTGATGTTAATACTGATGTCAGTTGAACAAAAGCAAATAAATAAAACACAAGTCTCCCCAAGTCGTACACTCGTAGTTAAGCAGTTGCTACTCACCCTATAGTTAGTTTTACTTAAAATCCAATTTTCGATGACAGCGTTGTGCACAGGATCAGCAGGTCCATTCTCTGCCTTGGTGCCGATAGGTAGCCCGGATATGATTACATTTTCCATTGTCATTGCCTCATTTCTCAACGTTTCAGAATCAGTTACCAAATAATAGACTACTTTCTGCCAAGGCATAGCGTATGTCTCTACTAGTTCATCGGCACATTTGAAGAAGTTCCTGTATCTATGTAGTGAATACTTCCGAGAATTCCCAACTGAATAGTCATTCATGATTTCTCCTGTCCCTATCTGTATACCAACAGAGAAGATACGAGGAAGGGTAAACAGTGCAGCATACTCAGCGACAAATGACATTGCTGGAGGACTCGGGCGGAATAGATAGTCGAGAATGCATCCAAATGATGTATGTGGCCGCAAACCCATAATATTTAGCTGAGGAGCATAGATGCGTGAGCTGAACGTCCGCAATACCATCCCACGGTTAGTGTGGAATTTAATAAAAGGTTCGGGATATTTAATGGTCCAGTTTGAATGGAGAAATAGACGATCTATGTGTTGAGCACTGAAATTGACCACGTCAAGAGGTGTCGGAATGAGATCTTTGAGTACTGCACCCGGATCGGATGAATCGTAGCCCCAATCTATATTTGGAGATTCGAAAATTGCTTCAAGAGGAATTGGTGTTCTCCATTCTGCCAGAAAGGCACGATCGGTGAGCAGGGCGAATATGAATGTTGATGACATGCCCAATAATCTGTGCAAGGGGATGAAGGCAATACAGTTAGAATAGGTAAATGTATGTAGAAAGTGAAAAGTAATGTTTCTGGAATATGTGATGTGCAAATTGTTATGCACTCTCAATTTCCAACATTTTACATATACATATCGTATGTCTGCTTACCTATCTGCTAATCCACCACAGTCGCTTGATTCGTCACATACATAGCTAACAAATCTAGGTGGTCTCTTGCCTTCCCTCATGTCTTCATGTAACCTGGTATACTTCTCTTGCCATGATCCACAGGAAATGTCTGCACTTTCATCAGCATAAGCAATTTCAGACCGTAGCTCGGCAAGCTTTGTCTTATCTTCGGCAGTCAATGATTTCAATGCATTGGTGTAAGTATAATGAGGATCAGAACGTACGTATGCGTACTGACGTAGGTAATCAGCATAACTATTGATATTGCTGCTGTGATCGCCACCATCATTTTGATTCTTCAAATCATTAAATACACCATCTTGGGCTTCAAGAAGACGACCAGTGGAATCGGTGTCTTCTCCTTCGTAATTGGTATTTTTGGGTTCAACCAAGTCGCTGATTTTGTCATTTACGGGATTATTTACATTATTATTCGCATTATTTTCGTTGAATGTATTGTCACCGTCGTTATTGTCACCATAATTATAGTCAACATTATTATTGTCGATACCGTTATTTCCATCATCATTATTGCCACCCTCACTATAGTCACCGACTCTATTCTCGTCTTCATTCACATTCATATGGATTGATGAAGCCTCGACATTATAAGGTTGTTCATCGTAGTTTTCATGTATTACATTATCGTTTGTATTGCCATTCCAATTATCTGTCCCATCAAAACTAGGTTGACTTATACCAAATGGATCCTCGTTGTGGTCTGTATGCTCATCGGTTCCTGGATAGTCATTGTTGAATATTGGCTCATGGCTTATCGTATTTTCGACCGGCGTAAAGCTCTGGCTATTCACCTTCAATTCGTCGTCGATCGGTCCGAGGCCACCCAAACTGCTAAGAAATACAAAGATCGCAATAAAGAATGCCAGTGGAAACACGACATTCTTAATTTTTGTCACGACAGAAGTATATTTGCTATATTTCGGATCACACCAATTCCAGGACCATTGTTCGAACGGCTTCATCTTAGAGGGCGTTAATGGCGGAGTCAATGGAGCTAATTTCTCCGGTATTACTGACAAGTGACAATTCTTCTGGGTAACTATGGGAGAAAGCTGTTGAGATGCCTGCCTGCCGATTGTTTGATTGGGCACAGCAAGTAGATTGTCAGAAGAGCTGTTGAATGCATTTAAGCTAGTAGTACGACGGTGGGTTGTCTGTCTTGAAGACGAAGACGAAGACATCGTGAATACTAAAGATAGTGATTGTATTACAGTAGGTATTGATGGTAAATAGGTGTAGCGATGTCTCTGGATTAAGGGATTTGGATGGGAACCAGGCCCAGCCAAGTTCTATGGTATAAAGAAAGTGGAGGTTTTGGAGATAAAGAAAGAAAGGAACAAACTTCAACTTTGAAAAGTTATGTGTTTTTTCACAGAGCAAAAGCTGGCGTTTGTTATCACCCGAGCATACAAACCCGAGTAAAGATGTTACACAAACCTTTGTTGTGCATATTAATATTATGATGTGTCACAAAGAAAGATGATGATCCGTACAAATCGGCTATTACTACGTACTTGCATGACGATATCGTATAGTCGATAGTGACAAAATTGCATATCGCAATAGAAGAAAGTGAATGTGCATACTTGGTATAAGTTCTACTCGATGTTGCGCCATCCAAGATAAACTCCGATAATAAACAACAAACAATATTAATATTAGGCAAGCTGTTGTTAACCAAACAAGTAAGTTCGTAAGATAATCTAATAGATTATTTGTTTCATGTTTGAGGTTGGTGAGCTCACTAAAAGTGTCTCGATCAAGTTAGACCTTGTCTTTATGTACATAAGTAAGTTACAAACATCGGAACATGTTAAAGCCTATTATTATATGACATTTACATAGTAGATAGTGTATAAATTACTAATCACTGCTGCATCATTGTGACATATATGTACAGTTTATTATCGTAATTAGGATGGGAAAATGTCTTGTTTGACTAACTATACAGTATTAGTATATTAATATTGTTTTATTTGCTACAATTTAATTGGTTAATTTTATTCTAAAAAACGTTAGAAAACTGAATTACTGTCAAAATCGATTTAGCCAAGCATATTAATATTCCTGTACGTAATACTAAGAGATTTGCATCTGACGAAACGACATTAAAACCACACATATCGCTTTTTACATAATGAACAAGAAATTATGTATCAGAGTTAGCAGACTGTTTGCATTATAGAACACTAGTGCCCAAATGAATTATGCCGTATTGCTTAATTGACCTTACTAGCATATTCCATTTAGCTAATGAGATACGTATGTGAGAATCACGGCAGTTCAATTACATTAGAGCGGATCTAGCAGTCTTATATCAGTTTCTTTCAAGAATTTTCCAAACATAATTAATATTAATTAATTAATTAATTAATTAAGCTGAATTACATGATCTGCAAACATCGCATGTTTAGTTCACTACTTTTGTAGTTACTGTTGCCGCAAACCGTTGAATAAGTAAATTTTATAACCATTCTGTTAAAACAACATTGTTGACGGGCAGTCTTAAACGGCTTTTACCTTATTCGATTTCTTAATTTTCATTTGGACCTTTGCTTGTTGTTCGACTTTACCAAAACATAATTGATTTTGCGTTCATAAGTAAATGCACTTTATGCTTACTAATGATCAGAATGTGGAACATGAATGGTACGATACAAGTTACTTACGCAGATGGTGGTAATTACAATGTGTCCGAACATATTTATATTATCGCTTGTATTATTAAAAGACAGCCTGAACCTAAGCCATTACTATATCTTCGATAATTCGATTTTCAATAGCCAGTTTGCTCATGATGCAAAGTTTACACGGTTTTTGAGAAAATAGACTGATAAATATTACACGCCGTTATACCATAGTTGATAAATAGTTGCCAGCACAGAAAGCAATTTCCACTTCAAGAAAAAAGCATGTTGTCTTGGGTGACAAGGTTGCTCATTAGCAGTGCAGGACATATTAAAATCCTACAATCAGTAACGCAGACCACCTCACTCGGCAATGCCTCTCATTCACTTGCAGGAAAACAGGCAAGCAAATAGAGCAGAAAAAATATATTACCGCTAAAAATCTTTGTAAACACTCGATCAATAAGTATCGATTATACGTAAAAGGTAAGAGCATACTGTATATACACAAATCGCTTTTCATCTTTGAAAGCATTTAACGGTTTCTTCAAATAACGCTTGGGAACGACATAGATTTTTGATCAGTTAAAAATTCGGTTAATATTAATGAATTGATTTTAGTACATTATGGATATATTTTTACAAGCCATTTGTATAAGCATGAACCATGTCGCTGTATGACGTAGGAAAATGGACACATTCAGGACTAAGTCTGCCGTATTTTTCGCTAACAGGTGTTTACAAACTTGTAAATATACCGGATGTCGCACGTTTGATACGGATCGTTTTGCTCTTTGCATTCGTCGAACAGATATATGAGGTGACTTGTCTGAAGAGCTTGCAAATTTACCCTATACCTGCAACGATACCCTCGATGTCGCTAGATCCAGATGTCAGTTTAATATCGAAATACAAACAATCTGTCGTTAGAAGAATTTATCACTTTTGAACAACGATAGAGATCAGAAACATTATTTAGATGTTAATTGTGTGCGGGAAATTAATTTACAATCGTGTGATCTAAATATTCATGATATATGATACGTGAGGAGATAATTCAATTTGGTAACGAGTATCCACGCCCAACTAACTCATCGTCCCTCTAAGACTTAATGAAGCCCAAAGTCGGATCTCTTTTTTGCGTCTGTGTGTGAATCTTGAGAGGGAAAGACTGGGAAAAGAAAAAATTTCTTTATTTGATGTTCCCCATTTGGCACCCTTGCACGATCACACGGGTCTGATTTTTTTTTCTTCCCGCTCTCTTAATATTAAGGAGGATGAGAAATATCGAGAAAAGGGCTTTACATCATAAGACCAATCATTGGATAACATTTAGTTGCAATTTGGCTGGCTTGCAAACAATGATAATCTACAATCACAATCTCCCATTCTAAAAAAAGACTGTACCCTATATTTGCACGTGATTATTCAAACATATTCAACGGTTTTAATGCAAAGCCATGAACGCGCGACAGGCAAGATTCGGGAGCATTCATTGTACAAATTGAATTCCACAATATTTATTTAAAACCCCATGAAAAGATAGATAACTACAAATAGCACTGCTTGTTATTTATATTCATATTGGTATTTATTCAGATTGTGATTCTCTTGACGAGAGATCCGACAAGGACATACTTGCAAAGAAAATAGATTAGCTGTGAAAATGGAGAAGAAAACGTTAAAGAAGATATCAATTCTACTGTTGCTCTGGATGTTTTGGCCGTTGGTTTTCTTCTGTACTGGTGAGTAGACGGATTGCGTGCATTCGTTGTACTCTTTGTACTTTGTACCTATGTCGTGCAAACCACAAAGTGCATTGCTGACTGGAAACTTTTTGAATCCCATCCAACGTTTAATCCATTTCAAAAGTTGTTGCTTATGCGGTTTGTTGGACTTTCTATCTTCTATACGGTGAGTCGAGAATTCTCTGCAGGTTTAATGAACAGGTTTTGCAAAAGTCGGCATTTGACGATTCAAATCATATTTTCATTATATGCTCCCTTTCATCAGCACAATCCGATGCACCTCGGGCACAAGCGATCGTTCCGTTGAACCCCAAGAGAGTGTTCAAAGTAACCTATCACTTATTAAGTTGTGTATATGATAATATCACTGGACCGTTTTTGCCATCCATACTGCAATATGGATGGCATAAGCTGTCTACAGAGCGAAAACCTAGTTCAGTGAGGTGAGGAAAAGAGTCCGTGAACGGATGATTGCTTGATTATTATTTACGTCTATTAGTGTCGGTGATCTTGTTTATCACTAACTCATTTGTCGACGATTGCCGCTTCTACCTTATTTTTCGGTTGTTATTGTGGAAGCTAATCCCTTTATTTCTCACCCATATCTCGTAGACGGAATATACGCTATGGCACTCGTCCCCGCAATCGTCTCGATGTATATCTTCCTGATAGAGTTTCGACTACTGTTCTCAAAAATAGTCCCACGATGCCTGTCCCTACAAATACAACAATGCATACTCCGTCGACACATGAGAATCCGGTCATTATCCTTATTAGCACGTCTTGGAGTGCCGGTTAGTTGAGAGAGAGGGGGGGGGGTTGAGGTGTCGTTCGGTATCTTTATTAGCGATTCTTATGATGATCGTCTGTTATAGGAAACAAGTCGACATGCATGCCCGTCGCCCATAATTTACAGAGTCAAGGATATGTTGTAGTCGTCCCTGATATAACTCTATATCCACGGGTTAGTAAATTTGATCGGATCGATTGTGCTCATAGTATGATGCAGTTGTTTTTAATGACATGTACTAAATTTGATTTGTTTGACTCTTTTCGTTAAGGGTAAAATCGCCGAAATGGTTGCTGATATCCAGCAGTGTATTTACTGGACACGCACGCACATTAGGCATGTCTTAATAACCTACTCTCTTGTCACTTACCTCAACAAATTTGTAACCAGAATTTCCTTTCTCTTTCGCTTAATATAGACAATTCCACGGAGATCCTTCTCAAATATACTTATTGGGCCACGCAGCGGGCGCGTTGATATGCGCATTAACCATAGTTCATGATGTGTGTGCCAGCCTGGATGTATTACCTCCCAACACAACAGAAGTTAACCTTCCGATATGGGATAATGCAATACGACGAACACCGATGCCAAGAGTGCAAGGATTGATTCTGTGAGTAGAAATGAAACTTGAGTGACAGAAACAATTGAAGTGTAGGGAGAAATATCATACGAGTGTCTCTTAACAATTTGAAACAGTATATGAATCAAAGATAAAGGATGTTATAAGACGTCATATTAACATTTAATGTTATATATGCAGGTTTTCTGGGAATTATGACGTGATCTATTACTACGCATATTTATTTCAGAAAGGTGAATATTCTCTAAAAAAAGAGTATATGATATTTCCGATTCCAATACTAATGCTCATCAATTCGTTCTTTTAGGGCTTGAACAAGTTCACGCAATGCCACGTGTAATGGGTAAGTGTGCTTGCTGAGTTTCCAAGTTTGATGAACAAGCATATGTTTCGTTTGGTTTACATGTAAATGGTTTGCACACTTACCATCGCAACACTCAATATCAGTAAACTGACCGAATTTTTGCTATTCCACTGCGTATACCATAACAGGAAATTCATCGGAAACATTTCTTCAGTGTTCACCAACATATCTCCTTCAACATGCTCTCGCACAATCCACGAAACGAGATCAGTTGAAGATGCTATTACCACGGAAAATACTTTTGATTCATGGGGGTCAGGTATGTTGTAACAGAACGGTTTTGTGGACGTATTAAAAATAAGACCCACTGCGGTACATTATTCTCCGGTTTGTCTGGTTTATTTATTTGTAATCACCTTAATCTGAATAAACATTCTTTTACTCGAAATTGTAAAATGCAGGATGCGTTCAACCCCCCAGTGGCGACTCGCACCTTCTTTGATCTTTTAGTGTCGTCTGGCGTTCCTTCGGTCCAACTAAAACTGTACGAAAATGAACGCCACATCAGTCCTCGCATCGACCTCATCGTACCCACGAAACGTCTGTGCGCAATACTCATCGAGGATATTGCAGAATGCTGCAAGGCTGCAACTGGGGCAGTGATGATGCGTGGCTGCTTAAAAGAAGACGACAACAATCAAAGAAAGGTTGATGGCAAAGATAATATCGGTATTAAACCGGTGCAAGAGGGAACTGGTATTAGGGTACTTGGTTAATTATGAATTTGGGTTAGTGAGGGAAAATTCGCACACGTGTGGGAATAAAAAAGGGAGTAATTTTTTGGATATATTTACATAGTTAATTGAGTATCGTATTTTGATGGAAATAAAATAAGGGAAATGGGCGAAAAGTTTTACCCAAGAAAGTGCGACTTTTTATATTATTTTAAATTTTTGTTGTAAACATCAAAAGCCGAAATATTTTGACAAGCATTGTGTATCGAATTAATAATAATAAATACACTATTTATTATTAAATTATATAAAAAGGGCAAGTTCGGCGATCGTGAAATAATGTCTTGTTTGCAGTGTGATAAATAATGATTTATGTTGTTTAAAAGCCGGAATAGAATTCCATTCTGTCATAAACTCTTCTAAATCGGACATTTTTCAATGTTGCTCTCATCAGGACTACATAACCTTGGGATCGTTATCTTGCTGTAAACGCCACTTCTTCCAATTAGACATGTCGATATTATCATGGTTGAGAACGTAATGATATTGATGTATTCGGTGTTGGTCGATAGATTTCGCTATATTGGCCGTTATTTTTTTCGGACGACCGTATGCTTCAGAGTACCAGTTTTTTTAAGCTTTCAATATTATGTCATACAGTTGAGACTGATAACTTTGTGTTTCTTGCCAGCTCAGGCACAGAGCGGATGCCTTTATCCAATAATGTAATAAAGCGTGCATCTTTCGTTCGTTGACACTTTGACAGTACAATTTTTATTTATTCAAGACGCGTAATAAAAGACTTGTTTTTTCATTTGGTAAAATATGACGCAAATTGAGCTAGAATTGGCAAAGTTTAATTAATGGTTAATCAATTTTTTTCGTCACACACTATATTTTGTGTGCTGTAGTCAATTTTAATACTAAGGCTAAACTTTTTTTGTTGCCGGTCGTTTTCATCAGCTTTGTCTAAAAATATATATTTCAGATTATTACAATACTGCATGATATGATTTTGGTTAATAAATAGAACATAGTTTATTTGTAATTCTGCAGTAGTAAATATAAATGAACGCCATACTAAAATCTATTAAATCTGATATACTAGTACATAAAATAATCATTTACTTACGAAACAATGATCCTAATGATCCTAATGCGCTACCAACTAAGCTATTAAGTCCAAAACCAAGCGCAGAACCTAATACGCGATCCCAGAAACTTTTCTTTTTCTTTTGCGCTTCGTGTAACTGATTTTGTAAGCCTGCCAACTGCTCTTTATAATACCTATTCATGTCTTCGAGTGCTTTCTCGTTTTGAGCTCTAAGTTCTTCCATACCCGCTACTGCTTCCCGTTGCTTTGCCATGACTTCCTCAATCTCTTCGCTCTTTGCATCCAACGCTTCCTTTATGGTTTGCACTTGTTGATCGCGCTCCAACAACTTGTTGTTAAGCTCCATTTCTCTCTGAGTAAGTTCCAGGTATTGTTCACTAAGTTTCTCTCGTTCTTTCATTTCTGCGGCCAGTTTCTCGTTGAATACTTTGAAGTTTGTAAGAGTGTCGATCGCGGCTTTGTAATAGTTTTCCTTATAATGCTTTAACGCTTCCATGGCCTCGGGAGATTCGATCCAGCGTTGTACAAGTTGCTGTTCAAAATTTGTAATGGCTCCGCGAAATTCGTCTTCAGTCTAATCATAAAGAACATATATTAGTTAAAGCGTGAATTGTCAAATCTCAATGATAGAATTTCATACAAATTCACTATTCTCGTTCAAGCCGCGGTGAATAAATACTTACGAATAACTGGTCAAATTTCAACCCTGGTTCAATCAGCTGAATCCATAGTGTCTTGGCCTGCGCAATATTGAATGCATACAACTCTTTTGAATTTTTATCTTGATATGGCTTCTTAGCTTCTGCCATATCGCGTTGGAATTTCTCCTTAAACCCGTCAATTTGCTTTAAAGTCCCAACGAGCCCTCCTACATATTCTTTCATAATGGTGTCAAAAATTGTCTGATGTATTGCAACAAACTCATTCCAAGGCATCGGTACAGACTCTGCCAACTTCTCTAAAGCTTGTCGATACAACCCAAGACACTTGTCTCGCATGTTTTGTGCTACGTATTGGGTGACGGTTTCATATTCATTTGGAATAGATAGATGAGCATTGTTTTCTGGGTCGTTCATCTTCTCCACACAATCAGTAAGAAACTTTGCAAAGGATAAACCGTTCATTCTCAGGTGGCCTATATACTTGGGTTCGAGTGTCCTGTATATCTTCCTTACGGATTCGGCTGCTTCTTCAACAAATTCCTCATCAAGATCGGTTGTGCTAACTGCTTGCATCTGTTGAAGGCGCTTGCCTCCGACTCCTGGGTGCTACATTGTTAACAATTGCTTATTTAGTAAGAACGATTATATGTAACTTTATGAGAAAGAAGTTAAAATGTGCATACAGGTAAAGCAAAGACACTGAATTCTTTGAATGATTTTTTAATGCCTTCAGCAGCTATTGATGTTGGGGAAAAAGAGAAAAAACGTTAGCTTTAGCACATCTTTCTGCATATGCAAAAACTAGACAAAACAATATACCTTCGCGACTGGTTTTGGCCAGGTGATTCAAAAAGTATTTTTTTAACGAATCCGGTCTCTCTAGGCCGAAATCTCTAAGCAGGATTACTAGATGGGGTAGGTACTTGCTGTTCTCTGGAGGTTGGATATATCTGGATAAATCCTGCATTAAAAACAACTTGCCAATGTCGCCACTTCCTACCACTCCGTTTATGTTGTAGATAAAAGTCGATGAAAGCACAAGGCAAAGAATGAACAACTTGGTCGCCCATTCCGCCTCTTGGTTCGGGTCGTCGATACCTTCGGTATCGAGCACAACGACTCTGCGGTTGAAGATCATATTAATGTATGACTTGATGTGCTAAGTATAGAACATGGTAAGACGGACTAACTTTAAGATGATGTGTACCTTTTGCCTTCGTGAACAAAAGGTGTATCCCACATGTAGATACCCCTTGTACAGCCGGTAACTTGCGCTCCGAGTTCAAATCCATCATGTCGACCATGCAATGCATTGGCGTACCTAATAATTGTAATAAAATACTTAGCTAATTGGCCACACGCTTCGCTCCATTCATCGACTATTAACTACGATATCTTGTATACAAAATTCAATGGTAATATAATCTTACCATGACTTTCCTCTTCTGTACGAGCCGACTAAATATTCGAATAGTCAAAGTTAACTTTTTTTGTCAATTTTACGGCCGACATTGATAGAAATTGATATTTACCGACAGCTATTACTGCTACGGGCTCTTTTATCCGTTGTAATATCTTCAAAGCTTCGGGCACGACATAAATCTTTCCAAATTCATCAGAATCATTTTTCTCATATCTAACAAGTTGGATGGGTCTACCTTCTCGTAAGGGAATTCCGTGTACGAAGGGGTTTCCGGATGATGTTACCATGTTGAAGGTGGGAAATACAACCGTACAGTCAACTCGAGTTAAATACTGTTCAGTGTTGACAACCGATCACTCCCTATTAAGTAAACAATGTCATCTCTTGCGTTTGTGAGACTATTTCAGGCTATGTTCCCTTGAAACTAGACATTTTAAGCGCATACAAGTTCGTTTATAACCCCTGTTAAAACCAGATATACTGTTTTAAATGTTTAAACTCAATGCTGTGACTTCCGATTTCGTAAAATTGGGCGTTTTTGTGAGAACCGATATGTGAACACAGTACTATTTTTGGGGCAAATCCGATAACAGACGGAAAGAAAAACGCTTATCAGATACAAGCCAAAGAGGCGAAATCCATGGAGTTTAATCTCCGCGATTGTAGTAATAGTTCATTTATTTGTATTCTGGATAATATAATATTCTACAATGCTATAGTATCAATATTGCTGTGCCCTCTTCTTTTATCGTAGAATCTACATTAACATCAGTAACATATTAATATCTGCAGTTTTGAAACAAAGAAAAAATAAGGTTACATATTTCGTTGTTCGGATGTTCAGATTTTGGTTTATGACGTTTGTTAAAGTTTGGGACGCTTCTTGTTCAATTGTCAGTTTGTCCTCTCACATTCATTCAAAATATCGAAACCTAGTATTTACAAACAGACTTGTATCGATACAAAAAGGTTTGTCAAACTATAATAATAATAATATCGTTTATATAAAAGAAAACCCATTCAATGGTACATTTAATATCCAATTAGAACCCCTACTCTTTGACTATTAGTTTTATGGATTAAACTCGAGTGTTATTATTATCATTAAGCCTTTATGGTGCCGGGAAAGTGACTGTATTTATTCCTTTTCTATCTTTACTATATTGTTAATCACTCATATTTGCAGCAGTCTAGACTTATATAACAATTTTTAGTACACTCCTGCATAAATTCCCTCAAGGGCCTAGCCTTTTCCAATGTGAGACGGCCCCATCGTTATTTTTTTTGCGAGTTTCTGAGACCAGAGCCTGAATGTGGCTTACTGCATCTTTCACAAGATGATCGACATTGCAAATACTTCCTGCTAAACTTTTTGGCTAGGTAGTGGCCTTATAACCGAAGTCGAGACAGCGGTCTCCCGTGACGCATTTCATTTGGCAATCTCTTTCGTCAGACTAAAATAAGTTTTTGTCGTCAAAAAAACCAAGACAGATCGACTTTGCGGAATGAGGATGTTCGATCAGGATATTAGATCAATTCATAAAATAGAAAGTGGTGTGCCGTATGAAGTAAGTCGTTATTTGAACCGAGAATAAGCGCTCTCTTTTATAGTACAATTATTACGTCAAGCATAATCCACAACAGACATTAACGGTAATTTCAAGAGGCGTACTATATTTGAAATAAAATTTATGATCTGTATAAACTAAGGTGAGAGGTATTCTCTGGGTAGAATAATAGTTTCTTTATTTATATTGCATCGACACATTGACACGAATCCAACCTTAATCTTGGACAATTTATGAGTATTGCTAAGGGCGACGTTCAATAAATGCCCAAAATTTATTATATTCCAGATTACTGATACCATAACTCGTTATTATATATGCCCAATCAAATTGTAAATTGAGAAATACTAAATATTGACATTTACTTTAACAAATAAATTTCTTTTTAAATTTAAATAAACTTTTTTCAATATCTTAAATAAAAATGTGTAATCCTTTTGCCTGCACATATTCTCCGATTTCCGACACACTTTTCTGTTCCGATAAATAGCTGCACAAGATTTTAGGGTTTCTGTCTCAGAACACTAGGCCATGTGTCTTGCGTAATGTGTAAGAGCAGGTTTCGAATTGATTTTTTTTAAACAACCTTAACTAAATTATATATATTACCAGCCAACACATTGCAATTTTTTGTACACTAGATGCGCTAAATTTAGTATTAATTATACGGTAACGGTAATTGCAATTGCCCGTTATGTCAATATTCGCAAATGGTCGGTAACTACAAAATATTATTCTAGATTCAAAATTCGATTTCTCAACGAAGAAGCAAGATATTCAGGCAATTTTTTATAAACCTGGTAGCGGTTTTTTAAATTGCGTAAAGTCATATATGGATTAATTTTTAACAGTTTGAGTTGCATAATCTAATTTTAACGTTTTTCGTAGGATAGAAATCGCTCTAGGTAAATTCATGGTTTTACATATAGTTGCAAATGTAGGGTGGTCGGTGACTTTTGAGACGAGACTTATCACATCTATTCATAAAGAGTACAATAATATTTAACCCGGGTATCATACTTTAGGCTTAATTTACTTTTACGCTTGTCTCATATCAGTAAAATCGTGATTAATAAGTATTTCTGAAATAGAATTCAATTTTGGGCGTTTATTTGAACGTCGCCTTTAACAATAACTCATAAATCGTCTAAGATTAAGGTTAGATTTGTGTCAATGTGTCGATGCAATGAAGAAACTATCATCCTGATCGATCGATCTTGGACATCCTCATTGCGCAAAGTCGATCATCGTTCTATCTGCGGCACTTACCTTGGTTTTTTTGACGATAATAACTTATTATAGTCCGACAAAAGAGATTTCCATATGGCTAATAATGAAAGACAAGTATGGTTCACCTGATTTATAGTCAAGCAAAAAAGTATTTGCAAATGTCGACCTGCAGGATAAAACCTCTGGTCTCGGAAACTAATAGAAAAGGCTCTTGTAGTTTGCTAGACTGTCAAGGGACTTCACGACTGAGCGGAATTAATAAAATATTTACTCTTTGATAACTAAGTATACTATGACATGGTCTCACATTGGAAAAGGTTGGAGGAGTATACTAAAAACTGTTTATACAAGTCAAATATGATAAACAATATAAGAAAAGGAATAAACACGGTCACTTCTTTCTCAGCACCATAAAGGCTTAATGATAATATTTATTAGAAAACTTTGTAGACAGAAAGTTGTACGTTTTTCCTTAACTTTGACTCGAGTAAAACAACAACTCAAAGAGTAGGGATCCCCAACTAGATATTAATGTACCATTCGCTTTTATATAAGTGATGTGTAACTTAAATGTTATTATGGTTTGACAAACCTTTTTGTATCGATACAAGCCTGCTTGTAACAACTGGGTTTTGGCTATTTGAATGAAGTCGAAACCGCTTCTCTAGTATTTATGAGAGGATAAACTGACAATTGCGTTCCAAACTTAAACTAAGCCATAACCCAAAATCTGAACATCCGAACAATGAAATATGTAACCTTATTTTTTCTTTGTTTCAAGGCTGCAGATATGTATGATAAAAAAGAAGGGGGCGTAGTAATATTGATACTATAGCATTGTAGAATATTATTTAATCTCGGATTATTCAGGATACAAATAAATGACTTTTACAACAATCGCGGAGATTAAACTCCATGGATTCGCTTCGGCTTGTATCTGATAAGCGTTTCGTTTCATATTTCCGTCTGTTTGCTGATACGCTATCGGGTTCACAATCGATTCTCACAAAAACGCCCAATTTACAAATTTGGGAAGTCACAACATGAGTTTAAAATTTAAAACAGTATATCTGGGTTTTAACAGGGGTTATAAACGGAAAATGTCTAGCCTCAATATCAAGTAGTCTCACAAACGCAAGAGATGACATTGGTGATCGATTGTCAACACCGAACAGTATTTAAATCGAGTTGACTGCGGTTGTATTTCCCATCTTCAACATGGTAACATCATCCGGAAACCCCTTCGGACACGGAATTCACTCACGAGAAGGTAGTCCCA